CTGACATTCAAAACTTCTAATCAATGTAATCTTGCCCATGTTAATTATTTTCAGATTCAAGTGACAACACGTCTAATCCTCGACATGGAAGCAATGTCCGTCTTTTGGACACATTTTGTCTTTAGGGAAGACGACACCGAACAAAAAGAAGTCAAATGTAAACACTGAGGAAAAACTAGTTGCAAGAAATGCAAGTTATTTATTTTCTTCTGTTTCAGAGAAGTTAATTTCTACTTTAAACTAAAATGTGTCGTTTTCATTTCAAGCGATGCTTTGATTTCAGTTTGAAATATTCAGTAAATAACCACAAAATAGTTCATCAGATATGCACTCTGTCCTTAGAAAACATATCCCAGCTTTAATAGTTCAGTATGTTTACAGCAGAGACCTCGTCAGTAAACTATGAGGGCAGAAACCAAAAACAAAATAATTGTTCATTAATCGTAATCGAGGTCAAATGTTCCATTAATCGTGATATTGATTTGAGGTCATATCGCCAGTCCTAAGCTCACATGGAAATTCAAATAGTACTTTTGAATGTATCTTACTAAAACTAACCTCTAGGAAAACCCTAAATAAATATTGAGAGGATTCTAGAGAGATGATTCAGATAATCTGGGAATTATAAACGTCTGTGCAAAATGTAATGACAGTTGAACAAATGCTGCCTCTTTACTCTTAACCAAAATGGAGGTGTGATATGTATAGCCATGCTTCTTTTAACCAGCTGCTTGTATGACTTTAATCCATGGCAAATTCAATGTATCCTCATATGCAGATCTACTTTTACTAATCCTTCCTGTTGGTGCAATTTATCATATTTGATCTGCTAATAATAGGAGTTCTCTATGCTGATGACCTTTATCCTTAATATGAGAAAGTGAGCTTGTGAGATTGGAGTTGAAAATATGTTATGAGTGACATTTATACTTACAAAAATGATTCATTAAAAATATTGACTCACCTCAGTGCTTCTCGTAGAGCTCCACGCTCGCTCAGGGTGGTATGTTTGATATCATCAAAGTTGTTCTCTAATTTAACACAAGACTGAAATTTTAAAAAAAGGAAGAAAGAAAGAAAAACATTAATGACAAAAAACGAAAGGAAACAAGGACACATGAAAACAAAACTTGGTGGGTGACAGACAAAGAGGATGACACATTCAAATGAGTGCTTTTGGCAAAATAAATGCTGCCGACATTTAGCCAAGATGTGCTGGTTTGAGAGTGTTGATTATCTTACATCACAGCCCCGCTCAGGGTTTCTCTTCCAGTGTTTCTTTTCTCTCTTCTTGTTTTCTGTGGACATGATCTGAGCATGTGTCTTCACCCTGGGATTCAGAGCCAGGATGCTCTGTATGCAATAAAATAAAATGGGTCAACACATTGAAACACATTGTTAAGTTACAACGAGTTAGCTGCTCCTGAAAGCAGATTTTAAGAATGCCACAAAGTTATTCAGACACTGCCTTTTTGAAAACCAAAAAATCTTAATAAATGATTAAGCAGGCTCTAGGAATGTCAGGATTAAAAAACTATCTATTTAAAGTTTTATTAATTGCATTTTTTTGTCTTAAGAAAGTATAAATAGAAATTCTTGCTTGTGTTTCATTCAGCTTGGAAACTACATGTGTCCCAGAACACACACACACACACACCTGCTGCCAAAAACATTGAAGCTATGGAACATTCTGGGAAATCTGCTTGTTTGGAAGGTCGGGGTCAAGGTGATAAGATAATGGTGAGATAATGGTCATTGCACTAAGGTTATGTGACCTGCTGCATAGCTGCATGAAAATATCCATTAAAAGAGCAAGTTGTGTATTCATGAAAAAGTCCACTGAATTCTACAATTCACTTATCAGACCCTTTTATCCAAAGCGACGTACATCAGAGAGTAAGTACAACACAAGCAAGGATCTAGAAAAAAGGGAACAATGTCAGTAAGAGCAAACGATCAGCTTTGAATCTGATTGGACACACAGGTGCTGACAGGAAGTGACCAGAGGCAAAGCACAACATTGAGGGCAGTTCTTGAGAGCTCTAATCAGTATAGAAACCATCTTATAAGTCATCGTCATTACCATCATCATCATCAATAATATGGAGACCATCATCATTAAGTTAGTAGGTATTCATGAAAGAGCTGGGTCTTTAGCTTTTTCTTAAAGGTGCAGAGGGACTCTGAAGACCCAATGGAGTTTGGAAGTTCATTCCACCACCCTCTTCTCTGTCCTGAATGGATCAAGCCATATTTACTGACGCACTTTAGGGTATTAATGATAGCGGTATCTAGGTCCTGGTAATAAGTCAAGTCAACATTATTAGGACAACTAAAACAACCGAGGCTGGCCAAAGTGCTGAACAGAGTAAAACCTAAAACACATATCAAACCATATTCAAATAATAATAAAAAATGTATTATTTGGATTAAAACATCATAAAAATCAGTTTTTAGATGTTGCAACCCAACCCAGTCAACCTCGAGGCCTTCCTAATTACCCTACCAGTCAAAAATATCTGTAGTGTGTAGGTTATTCTAAAGTTACATTATGAAGACTTGTGTAAGTCAGTGTACTTCTTGTGATGAAAGATACAACAGAAAAATCAAAGTACTTGGTCTTTTTCGATTCTCAGATTTTTTGAAATTTTCAAAATCCAAAACAAAAAAGGCCAACCAGAATTGACATTTTTAGACACTTCCAATCCCTTATTTACAGAATCACAACATATAAGAGAGTTCAGTACAGAGTTCTCTGATCTATTGCTCCGTCTCTACATGTGCAGAATCATACCTTCACTTGGACCATGCGTCACTTATCTACAGGTTGTACAACAAATCACATGCTTTGTTGCACAACACCATAAATCTGTATTAGGACTACATAACATGGATTTGATTTCTTATAATCCCTACTACGGCAATATGGTGGAAGTAAGTGTTGTTGAAGAAAGAAAAGGGTTTGCGTACTCTGCTGTGTATATTATGAACTGTATTGTTCTTCATAAGGTCAACTGGACTGCTTTACTCGGCATTTGAATATCTTCATTTACAAAGCTATCCTAGGAACGACCGGACTACCTTTTCCTCTCTTTTTAATTATTCATATGTTGGACTTTGTGCAACTTATTTGTGCTTTGAACAACTTAGTTACCCTGAATGGTTAAACTTTCTGTATGCAGCTCTTTTAACTGATGATTATGAAATGTGTACTGTATGTGTTTGAGTGTTTTTGTTGTTGAAACTGTGTATTGCTGCTATTCTTTGCCAGGTCTTCCTTGAAACAGAGATCTCTGATGTCATTAGGGCTAACCTGAATAAAGAAAGGTTAACAATATTTGTATAAATATATATTGGTCTCTATCAGCTGTCTGCAAAATTTTAGTGTCAAATCCACTCCTTAATGCAACTCAGTATACAAACACATATGTGGGACTGAGATTAATGTAAAGAGTTGGGGACTAGAATTTAACAATCATATTTGGACCAACAATTGGGACATCCTTTAAAATGCTATTTAACAGTAAAATCCTGACACAAGAGTACAGATATACATCTTAATAAAACAACATTAAACCCGCTTCGGTCAGTGATTAACAAGAGGAATCATTGAATAAGGCTAAATATTTAGAAAGTGTATAACTTTGTGCCTATATTACAACAGCTTGAAACTGTAATGATCTGTTTTTCAGATGAATATTGTTAAATCTGAGGTAGAGCTAACACATGAATGTATATGCCACCTTGTTGATAGTACACAAGCTATTTACAAAAAAACATAAAAAGTGCTAAAAACTAAATGAAATAAACAAAGAGCAGTTTACCTCAATGTCTGGAAGATCTTTACTCAACATGATGCTTCTCCTGGGTAAAAGCTTTCGAGTGCTTTCTGAAGATCTGCCAGAGAATGTTTTTCTGAATTAGAGGTCCGAAACTCTGACGGGGATGCTCTTCTTCCAAGTGGAGTTATCAGAGAGCTGACCGTCCTTATCACTCCTGCTTTTCTTACTAGCAGTTGGTTAACAGGATAACTGCTTAAAAACACGTTTTTTTCCCCCTCAACTTAATCTATTGATAAGAGCAGAGTGAGTCTCTCCGGGGTTGAAGTTCAAGAGGAGCTGGGTAGTGGACATGTTTCTGGGTGCATTGCACTTGAACTCTGGACAAATTAAACAATAACTTTAAACTTTGAGGGTTCAAACTCCACCTAATGAGGAGGGGGGGTGGGGAGTGAGGCCATGCAAACACACAGATCTGTTTTAACTACTTCCTGCCTCAAAGACTCTTTATATTTACTGCTACTCATGGTGAGCCCTTCACTCTCCTCAGGAAACAGGCCTTACACAGCCAGTCAGAAGTTTCATATTGCAAACCATTTTTGGTCTTTTAATTTGGAAAATATGTCTTTAAGGTCTAGATAGAATGCTGATAAGTCTTCCCTCTTTTATCTTATTGGGTTTGTCAAATCAAATTCATTTCTTCTTCATCTCAATGTTTTCTTTTTCTAATATTCTGATCTCTCTGTCTCTCTCTAATGCCCTGCTCTTTTGATCGCTCTCCACAAGCCCATTTTTGTTTCTTCTCAAAAATCACTTCTAAACATTTGCTTAGATAGTAACTCTCTGCAGGTCCAGGTTGCATACTTGTATGCATTTATTACATCATTATTTTTTTGACTTAAGTTTCATTTCTGTACTTGCAGCGCGTTTGATGCTTCTGCAGTTGTTTTGCATATTTGCAGCGCGTTTGTGTCTTTGCAGTGCATTTCAGTCTTTGCATTTGTTGTGGTAGTTTGCATTTGCATTTGAATGTGCAGCGTTTCTATATATGCTGCATGTTTTTCTAAATGTATGTCGTTTCATCAGTTGCTGAGCGATTGACTCCTACCGGCCACCGTACACACTTAATATTAAAGTATTGATAAGATTATACAAGAATATTTTTCTGACACAATTCATGACAGCATTTTAGCAAAACTGCAATTTATAATTTAACCAGCAGACATTTTGTAGAAACTTTATTCAGTGTGTGTATATGTGTGTCAAACATCACTGAGATAGAGCATCGAGGCAGCAGAAGCGAGAAGGGCGACAGCAGTAGCCATGACGATTCCTAAAAAAAAAACAGAAGAGAATCAGGAAAGGTTGTTTTTTTTAAATGCACATGCATCATGTTTTCAGGTTGAAAATTAGTTAATTTAAATTTAATTTTTTATATAAAATATATTGAAACGTGCCTCTGGTATATTATAGTTGTATGGTTATAATGAGTCAGGAACTTCTTGACAGAGAAGGCCTTTAAAGTCAGGGTTGGTAATTTTCTAAAACTAGCATGATTTTGAAAGTAGCATTCCCTCAGTGCTGCGTCTGCACCCCCCCTCCCCTCTGTGCTCCCTCTAAAGCCACGCCCCCTCACTTATATGCACAAGCCCCATTGGTCCAGAAACTGACCTCAACTCATGCTTTGAGTGTGGACTAGTGAACACATGTGGTAGAGAACTATCAGGCAGACAGGGAGGTGTGTGATTGGTTCATCAGATTGGTATCTCATGGCAGACATTGGTCAAAGTTTTTACAGACTTACAAACTGATACAGATGATGGATTTTCTTTGTTCCTTTTTCAGAGAACATGACTTATTATTCTGTCAGGACCTAAAGACAATTTCAACCAAAATCTTAAAAAGTGGATCTGGAGGAAATGACCAACCCTGACTTTAAGCTCCAACACAATCTTGACTTGAAAAATACTATCGCTAAAGCATTTCCCTGCACCATTTCTTTAAGGCTGATAACTGGGCTGAAACACAAATTATGCAAATATAAACTTTGCAGTCTTTTGAGAGGGGGCAGGAATTCAATATCGAATAGGAAATATTTTCTATTTTTGGCTGTAATGTCATGAGAATCTTTCTAAAGTCGAAGTGATTGTTAGAGGATTATTCCATTACCAATGAAACTGCTCCTTTTGGGCTTCAGTTCATCCACAGTTTCCAGAGCTGGCTCTGAAGACACAACAGTACATTTGTTATAAATCACTTTTTTAAACCAATTCAATCTGGTTTTAGGTTACTTCACTTGTCCTACAGGTAACACGTGTACACAAATATTGTTTAGGAGAAATTGTAACTTTTGTAACTACATGAGATTCACACATTTCATTTTGGGGATTTTTTTATGACCTAAATATAGTTTCAGTATGTATGACTATGATGCCATAAAAGAAAAGAGGAGAGACAACTGGTAGTTTTATGCCAATGTGCTATGAAGAAACAACAGATTTTTAGGGAGAAAGTGTGGAGACTTTGTTCCTACCTTCTGCAACAACTCCTTCTATGAATTGAGCAGGCGTTTCCTGCCTGGTATCTAAGTCTCCCTCAGCCACGTCGATGTCCAGCATCTCCTTCAGCCTGTCTGTCACTTCAGACAAACCCTCATCACTGAACCAATAGTCAGACACACTCACAGGCCTGCTGACTGGACAGTAGATACGACAAGGCAGGCAGAACCGCTCTGAAAGAGAAAAACATAAAGGGACAGAATTAATGTGAGAGGATAAGTTGAATTGTTAGTACTTATTTATGAATTGTTATAAAACAAAAATGTGACAAATGTAGTGAACTAACTCTTTATTGTTAAAAAATTCTCACTGCTTAACCTTATAGTCATTGCTTAGCCTTAGTATTTTCTATTAGTAGAAAACAATAATTATCTTTAGGCGTATGATGGGGGAGTTCTTCTTCTTCGAGTGTGTGTGTGTGTGTGTGTGTGTGTGTGTGTGTGTGTGTGTGTGTGTGTGTGTGTGTGTGTGTGTGTACCCGTTTCCTTTTTGCCACCTCCTCTGCTCTCCTCCTCTGATATAAGCAGCTCCTCCAGCAGCATCTGAACCCTTGTGGCCACCGTAGAAACCACATCCCTCTTCAGCAGCTGTTGGAAAAAAGATTTCATGACTAATTCATAAATAATTATTTTGATACAGTTTGACATTTCCCACTCAATGAAAGAATTACCTTTTCAGCAAGTTTAGCCTTTGGTTTGTTGTTGTGTATGTAAGCTGTGCTGTGAACGGCTCCTCTGACAGACAGACTACCTCCACATGACTGCATCTCGTCTGTGAACCTCTCGTCCTAATACCAGAGAAATCATCGTCCTCTTTATGAACATCAACAGTACATCACAGCATGAGTCTCCAGATTTTTTGCAAAAATCCTAAAGCAGATTTATCTAAGTAGATATAGGCATTAGAATTTCAATTTCTATTAAAATCTTGGAAGAGTGTGTGCATTTTTGTCTTACCGGTGTGACAAGCAGCTGAGCCGTGAATGTCTGAGCAACATTCCTCTTCTGTAGAGAAAACAAACTGTTTTTATTAATAAACTCCCGTCAGTATATAAACATACATAAAGTGTAAATTCTTTAACTGTGCACTCAGTGGGGACTGGATTTATCCAACCTGTCCGGTTGTGAGCTCACTGTCCTCTGGCAGCTTCCGTCCGCCTATCAAACAGTCTCCAGTCTCGATGTGGTGGACCCACAGCTTCAGTCCCTCCTGAATCAGAGAGAGTGTGACGTGAGAACAAGTTCCACTGAAGTCACTTCAAAACTTTGTAACGGGTCTGCCTCCTTTTCAGAAACTGAACTGAAGATCTTTTCCTCACTTTTTGTTGGAACTGAGTAAAAAACCCAAAGTGGAATTTTGAGTTGAACTCTTTCTTTTTTTTACTTTGTGAGGACTGAGGGATTGTGGGATATTGAGTATTTGTTATTTTTTGAGTGTAGGTTGAGTGTTTGAGTTTATATTGTGGTTCATTAATATAAGACTATTTTGCTTTGAATGACATTGGTTGTGGAGTTTTTATTTGTGGGGTTTTGTCATTGAATGTAAGGGTGTAGACTTTTTGTGTGACGTTTTGGTTCAAATAATCCAAACAAAAAACTCAACTAAAACTTTAAACGACAAAAAACAAATGACTTATCTTAAAAGCCAGGTGAGAGACCTGGCTGGCCCCCCCTAAAACAAAATATTAAAGGATCATCACATCTCAAAGTCAAACTGTCACAGTGTATACACTTTACCTTTAGATGTTTCATCATGCTCACTGAAGTCGTTCTATCGTCTGGTAGAGGGACCAACATGTCAACGTTTAAACAGCAGGACACCGTGCACCAGGAGGAACACACAGCTGACTGGTACCTCCAGTCTGCAGGCTTGGCCGGACTCTGGAACCGCCCACAACATGACATCACATGATTACATTCTGCATCAGTCAATCTTAAAATAATCACAAATGTGAATAAAAAAATATTTGAATGGAGTACTAAGGGGAATTTAAAACAAATGCTAAAGAAATTAAGTTTCTTGAGATGTTGACATTAATTGCAAAAGACTTGATCTGATAACTTCAAACTGAAGCTGTAGCTTTGTGAAAAATTAAAGATCCTACCTTTGGATCTTTGATGTCTAAGGTTCTGCAGACAGTTCTGGTACGTGGGGTTAAAGAATATCTGCTCACTCTTACAGCTAGAAATCTAATCCAATGGAAAAGGCTGTGCAAAAGGATACTTCCTGGTTTTAGGGTTGATGTGCAGTGTGATACGGTCTGTGACGTCATCGTCTGCAGGAGACCACAGATACTCAGAGGAGATCAGATTCTCCACTGCAAAAACCAGCTGCACACAGAGAACCCACACACAGAAGGGTTAGAGGACCAGAACTCACAGATACATGCACATAGACAAAGAGCAACTCAAGCAAGCCCAACTGGGAGCAAATGTGATGTGTGCCAAGTTCATCCAGAGCTCACTTACAAAAATATAAATGTATTCAAATCATTGTATAATATCAAAACAATAATAAGTAGCATCTTTACGGCACACAAATGTGGAAGTTTAAATGACTCGAGCTTCACAGGTTGGTTAAAACACATTATAGAAAATCACTGTACAAAGTAGATACAACAATTAAAGAAATGGTAACAGTGTGAATGACATGAATAGATTCAGCAAGGTTGATGTTGTGAGTTTCAGTAGTTTTATGAATGCTTCGAAAAAGATGAAAAGACTTGAAACTATTTTTAGACGGGGTTTTTTCCACGTGATTAATAAACACAACTCAGCTGTTACTGCTCGGTCCTATTAGTCTAAATGGATAATATCTGTGATTCAGAAGAGTCATTTTTAATGACATAATGTTAAGATTTATTTTGGGGCTTTTCGCCTTTTCATTGCTAGAACAGTGGATAGAGGAGGAGACTGAGAGAGAGCGGGGAATGACATGCTGGAAAGGAGCCACAGGTCGGTCTTGAACTGGCCCGCCTTCCTGGAGTACATGGAGGGCTACCTACCGGCTAAAGCATCTGCACTCTGACAAAATAAGTAAAAGAAAAATCTTTCAATAAGAAATCTGTAAAAAGAAATGTTCTTAGTTACATTCAATTAATAACATTTTCTTTTTGAATGAGTACTTACATTATTTATGGTAAATGGACATGAACTTGTATATTTCTTTTCTAGTCTTCTGATTACTCAAAGCTCTTTCACACAGCAGGTCACACCTACACATTCACACACTGATGGTAGAGGCTGCTGTGTAAAGTCAAACCCTCGTCCTTCCGGTTGAGAAATGACCGACAGAGCCACAGCTGCTCCAATATAACAGCTGTAATATTTGAATGCAGTTCCTTACACATACTTTCTGTGACTAAAAGGACAGTGTCTTGCCTATTAGGAAAGTTGAATTCATGATCTGAATGGCTCAGGTTGTTCAGACAGGAACTTCCCATTGCCCTGTGTAACCGAGCTGTTGGTGTTAATTTCAGAGCTATTTAATCAGAGTATTCCCCCAAACAACTCAAAGCTAAATAAACAGTCAGGAAAGTCCAGAGTATGATGTTTGACTTCTCTATCACCTTCTATAAATGATTTGAAGTCATCTCCAGGTGTCAAAACAGAGCCGACTCCCTAATATTTATTTAAATGTTATCATATCCTTATTTAAAACTGGCCTTTGTTCTTTTCTATCCAACTCATCCCAATGGTTTGGAAGGTGTCAACGGTCTTCCCTTTTCTCTGAAACAAACAAAGTCCAGAGGGAAACATGACCATTTAACTTTTTTAATTAATTCCAGTTTTCTTTCCAGCTGAGACACATTGTTAACTTCAGGCGTATCGTGTCTTTAGTTGACATGATTGTTCACTTTTTGACTTCATCTTATATTGACTTATTCTTCAACTGTAATCACTGATCATTAATTTGTGGTCCACAATGCTGCTGCTTAAATTTTGTCAAGGACCTCATGAATAGCCTCATGTATCACCCATCTTGATAGCTCTATAATGTAAACCTCTTTTCTTCTCGACTTTATGGACACATTTAAAAAACAGAAAAAGACCCACATGTTAGGACATGAGGCAGTGTAACGTGTTCATTGATTTGTGTCTTTAAAAGTAATATTTTGTCTCTAAATTTGGATGTATATCTTTTTTGTATACTGCTCTACAAGGTGCTACATTAATAGATGTACTTAATAATTAGTCAAACCTTTCCTAGGAAAGGGAACATGGAAAACACATACAGGGCAGAGCTACTGTATTTTAAACACTGTTAAGAACTGGAAACATACAGCAAGTTGTTCAAAGTAAATAATGAATGCGTTTATTTTAGAGAAATGGTGTGTGACCCTGATTTGAGTCCTAATAGGACGGATAATATACCAAACAGCTGGGAGATTAAGGGACTAACAACATACTCACAATTAATCAATTAATTTGTATCAAGAAATACAAAAGATTCATTTTAAATGATAGCTGATGATAGATGATTATCTACAAGTGAGAAGTTATCTTTCAAACATATACAGGAGGATACATTAACAAATGAATTTAAGCAGCAGTTGTTCCAAAATAAAAAAAAAGCTAAAGAAAGCATTCAAATTTATATATAAAATATTGCAAAAGTATGCATATATATCTCCCCCTTGCAGGTTCAAACTGTTGGAGACGGTGTGGAGAGGCAAACTGTGCACATATTTTCTTGAAATGTCCAGTTTTATTATCATTTTTGGAAGAAAGTTTGTATGTTCATTTTTGAGTTAAATACACATTTAGAGGTAGAATTTATTTTATTTATTTTCAACTTACTTGAGGTGATAAATGTTGCTGATATTTCTCTTTTTAATATTTTGCGAGTGACGGCCATGAAGCTGATAAAAAGCACATGGAAACAACATCCACCTAAACTTAAGTTAGGAGAGGTGACCTACAGAAACTATACAAGATGTATCCAAAAGAAAGAAAGACTTGATGGGCTGTACAGGTCCATGAAATCTAAAGAGCAGTAGATGGGCAACCCCCCACAGATCATCACAGATCATCATACACAGACGGTGTGTTTTCATGAATCCCACCTGTTGAAGCGTCATGAGTGTGTCCTTGGCATCGCTATCATCAATGATGAAGACTCCTAAAACAGACAATCCTCCAGGCAACATTCTGGACACCTGAAAACAGATCAAAACAACGGCAAATGTCACCTGTAGGAGTCTTAAAGCCTTCACAAACTACTTCCAAGTGTGTTCTAAAACCCCTTAAAACACTGAGTTTGTCATGCAGGAGCCCTTTGGAAACCCTTTAAAGCTCAGGAGCACATGTGTCAGTGTAGGGTTTGAGTTTTGTCCTTCTTTGCTAACCTGTCGAGCATGCTCAGTCACCCACTCCTTGTCCAGACAGTTTCTAGATGCTGCAGTTGACTCCTCACGTTGAGGTGTCCGGGTCGCCATGATGACAAAATCCCTTTGGGCAGAGCTCTAAAATGTGTCAAGATCATAGCATGTGTGCAGTCTCAAAACACAGTATGATTAATGAATCCCACAGAGGGCCAAAGTGCTGCAGATTACATTCAAAATACAAGTAACACAAAAAAGCATTGAATAATGATAAATATAAGAGAAATGTAAAAACAAAGTAATACAAAAAAGCATAAATAATTATATTGTGAAAAATAAGTATAATATAAAAACATGCATTATAGGTTTATTAAAATATAAAGTTATTTGTTAAGAAGCAAAAGTTAGCTGGGTAAAAAAAATGTATGGCCTTTTCATTGCTAGTAAATGAGCAGCTGTTATGAGATTATGAAAAACTGACCCATCCGCTCAACGTTATGACAACCTAACAAGAGGACAGGGTTTAGGGTTTAGGGTTTAGGGGTTTCCTTACCTGTCCAATAAGCAGTCCGGTGACTGGACATGCACGCTGTTCACATAGTTTAGACAGATAAACCTCTACAGTGTCGTCTACTATGTAGCCACGACCCATAATGTCCCGACCTGAAAGAAGAGGAGGAGAGATACTAAATTAAACAACACAATGTTTCTTCATCTGTAGGCTGTAGGGTCTAACTAAAAAGAAATGCTTCAGGTCTTAAGTTAGCGTCAAAAATGCAGTTTACAGTGTTAAGAGCAATTAGCTGTCAAATCAAGTAACACGTAGGCTTAACAGGAAGTTGTATGACTAATTGTAGCATTAACTATAGTTTTAATCAGATAATATGACTTTATGTAAAGCAGCGAGAGAAAGTGCAACTTGCACTTTTACAGAACTGCACTTCAGCTCCAGAATCACCACGGAAAATATCTGACAGCAGCAATATAGTAATGCAAATAAGAAAACAGACCGCTTGCTGTTTGGTCAGTCAGCAGAGGAAATAAAAACAACGGTGCTTTCTAGGGTGACAAACTTCCGTCGCATGCCTCTGACGTCGAGGCGCCAAATGGTCAAGTTAGAGCGATACAGGCAAACAACAAACAGAACATTGTCAATTCTCTTCAGATTATAATTTGACAAACAGCAACTGCAATCTTTTCAGACACCTCGTTTGCTCCTCTGCCTGATAGCAATATTTGAGGCACAGTTTAAAAACACTTACCAAATAATAATGATAATAATAATAATAATAACTTTATTTCTAGAGCACCTTTTAAAAACACAGGTTTACAAAGTGCTTTGACAAACAGCAAAAACAAGAACAAACTAAACCAAACACAGAAGAACATAAACAACAGCAAGAACATAACAAATGTAAAATACTAAAAATAATTCAATACAATTCAACAGAAAAGAACCCAAAGTGCACGATACACAACAGACATATAGAACCAGACCATCACAAGAACCATCAACCATCACAAGAACATCACAAGAACCATCACAAGAACATCACAAGAACCATCACAAGAACCATCATAAGAACCATCATAAGAACCATCACAAGAACCATCACAAGAACCATCACAAGAACATCACAAGAACCATCACAAGAACCATCACAAGAACCATCAGAAGAACCATCACAAGAACCATCATAAGAACCAACACAAGAACCATCATAAGAACCATCATAAGAATCATCATAAGAACCATCATAAGAACCATCACAAGAACCATCACAAGAACCATCATAAGAACCATCATAAGAACCATCATAAGAACCATCGTAAGAACCATCACAAGAACCATCATAAGAACCATCACAAGAACCATCACAAGAACCATCATAAGAACCAACACAAGAACCATCATAAGAACCATCATAAGAATCATCATAAGAACCATCATAAGAACCATCACAAGAACCATCACAAGAACCATCACAAGAACCATCATAAGAACCATCATAAGAACCATCATAAGAACCATCACAAGAACCATAATAAGAACCCAGACAACACAAGAACCATCATAAGAACCATCATAAGAACCATCATAAGAACCATCACAAGAACCATCACAAGAACCCAGGCAACACAAGAACCATCATAAGAACCATCATAAGAACCATCATAAGAACCATCACAAGAACCCAGGCAACACAAGAACCATCATAAGAACCATCATAAGAACCATCACAAGAACCATCATAAGAACCATCGCAAGAACCATCATAAGAACCATCATAAGAACCATCATAAGAACCATCGTAAGAACCATCACAAGAACCATCATAAGAACCATCACAAGAACCATCACAAGAACCATCATAAGAACCATCACAAGAACCATCACAAGAACCATCATAAGAACCATCATAAGAACCATCATAAGAACCATCACAAGAACCCAGGCAACACAAGAACCATCATAAGAACCATCATAAGAACCATCATAAGAACCATCACAAGAACCCAGACAACACAAGAACCATCATAAGAACCATCACAAGAACCATCATAAGAACCATCACAAGAACCATCACAAGAATCCAGGCAACACAAGAACCATCATAAGAACCATCACAAGAACCATCAGAAGAACCATCACAAGAACCATCACAAGAACCATCACAAGAACCCAGGCAACACAAGAACCATCATAAGAACCATCATAAGAACCATCACAAGAACCCAGACAACACAAGAACCATCATAAGAACCATCACAAGAACCATCACAAGAACCCAGGCAACACAAGAACCATCATAAGAACCATCACAAGAACCATCACAAGAACCATCACAAGAACCATCATAAGAACCATCATAAGAACCATCACAAGAACCATCACAAGAACCATCACAAGAACCATCATAAGAACCATCACAAGAACCATCACAAGAACCATCACAAGAACCATCATAAGAACCATCATAAGAACCATCACAAGAACCCAGACAACACAAGAACCATCATAAGAACCATCATAAGAACCATCACAAGAACCATCACAAGAACCCAGACAAAACAAGAACCCAACAACACGAGCTGAGACCAAGAGGAGCAAAGATTAAAAAAAGATGTAAGAAACGAAAAGAGCTAAAAGCAAATAAAAAGATAACAGCAATAAGAATTACCTTCTTATAGGAAAAGAAATAGAAACAAGTGAATAAATGATAAAAAACAAAACAAAAAAAACAATAGTATTAATAAAAATAAAAAGTATATTTACATATAAAACATAAATAGACAAAGTAAGTAAGATAATAAATTACCAAGTTAAAACACAAATGAGGAGCGCTCAACCCCGAACTGCACGCTGCAGTAATGGACGTTTGGAGGATTGCGCCCTGAATAAAAGCAAACATCGTTACCCAGAACATCCTCTTTTCAAAGTGTAATGGTCGACTATATAATAATCACGTTTAACATGATAAAATAATTCTATTAAAGTAGTTCATTCAGTTCAAGGCATCCTCGATGTGTTGTTCTGTACTTGTCTTTTATTCTGAAGGGTTGTGGTCGGCGTACTACTTCCTGCCACAGTTTGACACCGGCTTGATGTATCATAGTAGGAGGTCGGAAAAACGTTATTATAACTTAAGTTTAATCCCAGAGAAGAATAACTTGAGTTTAGTGTACATTTTCGGGTGGATTGGTGGAGATGGCGGCCGTCCTGCTGCAGATTCTGGAGCGGACGGAGTTGAATAAACTATCGAAAAAGCGTCCAGAACAAGTTAGAGAAGTTTGTGACGGAGCTGCAGGAAGCTAACGAGGAGCTAAAGACGCAGCATGAGAGATTCAAAGCTGACAGCGGTATGTTACTAACTTTACAATCAGCAGGTCAACATGTGAGCTATATGACAGACACCTCGAGTCACATTATACTAGTTTTAATGCCTTCATGCGAATTTGATAAAGTAATAAACTAAAAAGTAAACGTGTGGATCCACAATGCGTAAACTACAGGCTAACGTTAGCTGTGACGTCACGGAGGCTAGCTTTAAATAACAAGCTAACGGGTTAAAGCTGGAGATGCTTTAAAGAGTTTCTGTATGGTGTGTTGAATTGAAAGCACTAGACTATATTCTTGAAATTGAGCGACGAAACACATCTTTACTTCTTGTTTTACCATCAGCTGAAGAAATCCAGAATTTTAGTTTCCACGTTGTTTCCATTGAGAAATATTTCAATGTTTAAGGCCTGCTGCTATCTCCTTGTATGAAATCTTTTATGAATATTTTTGTGTGTGGATATTCATCAGTAATAAATAGGGATGTGTTTCCCCTACCATTATATCAGGGACTATGCCCGCCCCAATTGAAGGTCGAGTAAAATAAATAATAAAATAATAATAAAATTAAATATATATATATATATTTTAAAGATTTATTTTTGGCTTTTTGTGACTTTATTGTAGAGATAGGATAGTGGATAGAGTCAGAAATCAGGGAAAGAAGTCATTTAAGGATACCTTTTCTGATAGAACAGGACAGCTGTCATTAAAAGTAACACATGAACACCAAGATTCCTTCAAGTGTTTGTGTCGGCATGTCGGCATGTCGGCATGTCCCCAATGCTGTAAACCTAGGGGAAACACTGCATACGATTCCCGATACTGGGTTCACGATACAATTCTCTCCCGATTTATTTTACAAAATCAGACTGAAGACGAAGTATGACTGAAACAGATTCCTTTAGGGGCTGCTAACCGGTTTCTGTTATCTTCTCTCTCTTTTATATTCTGTCTTTGGAAAGCCAAAATGCTTCCACACCTCTGATTTAAAAGACGGTGGTGTGTCTTCAATTTCTAAATCTATTACTGTACAGTGTCATTTTGTTTCATTGTTAATACTTTCTCTCACTACAGAACAGCAGTACTTTGAAATTGAAAAGAGGCTGGTGGAGAGTCAGAACAGATTCTGTCTGCCACCAGAGACCTGCAGCACTCAAGGATACAAATGCAAAACTAAGTAAGTTATAAACACACCTAATAACCTTCAAGTACCCCTCTTATACTTCTTAATGAACCCTAAGCAGCATTATTATTTGTATGGTTGCCTTATCTCTCTGTTTCCATCCTCTAAGCTGTTTCAGTGTAGTGTTCAACAGCACTCATGGCTTAAGAATACAAAATACATATTGTCTGTTTTTGAATACAATGGCAGAAATGTGTCTCTTACTTGTGGGTGCAATATGCCATTAAAAAAAACCCAAGTTAACACTTATAATGATAAAGTGGGCAACTGTGCACATTTACACTAGTCACACTTTTTTATTTAAATGTACAATTTAAAATCAATGAAATGTCTCGATATGTAGACTCTTTTACAATATTTTGCTACAGCAGATGTTCTCATGCTGCAAGTTTCAAGTCCATATGAACACAGGACAAGGTTAATAGTACAGTATCTGTTCCATCAGCGTTGTTCAATGAAGTTCACTTAGCAGATGCTTTTATCCAAATTATAACTACAGCTTTAGTGTGCTAACAGCTGGTGTAGCTCATTTTAAATCTCCTTTGTGAGGACAAGCAGACAGCATATTAGATTAGTCCCTAAATTTGATAAGTTAATCGTTATATTAGCATGTTTAAAATTCCATTATTTCACATTTAAAAGTAAAAGAAGTCCATATTGTTTATTTGCAATTTAATGATAAAGGTCAATACTTTTGGACCCTCATCCCACACAGTTCATGTTAGGACGAGCTCACAGTAACATACCTACTGATGGAAGAATGCTGTAGCTCTCTCCTCAGAGTTGTAACATTTCTTCTGTACAGATGAAGAGCTGAGCACTCTGAAGGAATAGAGGCGGAGACTCCTGAAGAAAACTCCCACAACAGGTAAATGGACCCAATGCACTTCATGATGAAGAATGTAGATGTGATCTGTTGTACAAAGTACATGTATTATTATCTTGTTGATATGATTGGGCTGCTGTCACTAAAGGTTTAAGAAAGGGGATACTGCCTGATTCAGACATTGTAGACACTTTATCTAAACATGTTTTAGAAAGATCAAAGAAATAACTTTAGTACTGAGAGGCTTTGTCCCGCTCAGTCAAGGATCACACTCTGATGCGTCACAGCACATCTTGGATCTAGAACATATATACCATAAAATCCTATTTCTCTGAAGTCATAATGAGCTGTGTGTGCATAGTTTGAGAAATAAGCATTTGAATTGAAAGTGATCTAATGTTGTTTCTATTTTTAACAACAACAAAAAAATTAACAGACCCCTTTTTATTGACTGATTGTTAATTTAAATCCTTTTTACGAGTACTTTCTAGAAGCTGAAAAAAAATAGTGTTCATGAACTGATGTTTGTTGTTTTATTTACTGTATTTTTGTGGTTTGTGTGTGTGAGTATAGCAGACCAAGACCAAGTATGAGATTGAGGCGGAGAAGAGGGAGCTGGATCGGCTGCTGGAGAAGAGAACCCAAGAAGTGGAAAACCTTTCTGGTAAGATATAAGACACACACACGCACGCACGCACGCACGCACGCACGCACGCACGCACGCACGCACGCACGCACGCACGCACGCACGCACGCACGCACGCACCACGCACGCACGCACGCACGCACGCACGCACGCACGCACGCACGCACGCACGCACGCACGCACGCACGCACGCACGCACGCACGCACTCACACACACACACACACACACACACACACACACACACACACACACACACACACACACACACACACACACACACACACACACACACAACTCTTTGTTACATCACACGTTATCATCTTAAAGTTCATCTTTTGCTGTTTTCAGAATCTTCCTTTCTTAACGTCACAACTTAAGGAGCAAGCGAAATAAGAGGAGGAGAATAAAATAAATAAACATTCCAATATTTGTTTTTTGGTCAGTAGAGTCTTGCCTGTAAGAAAAATGACTTGAAGGGTTCCCGTCTTAAGTTAGCCTTAAGATTCATGATTTGTTTATACTACTTGGACTACAAACATAGAAAACCTATGGCCTGCATGTAGAAATAATTGATTTTTTTGTATAATCTGTAAACAATGATTAAGCCATCCCAAAGAATATCCTGAAGCAGTAAAAACAGGGGTTTGTTTTATCTCCAGTTTAAGGCCAAATAGAGTGGTGGATCTGTTACACTGCTGCAGGTCAGATATCTGAAGACAGCCTGGAAGATCAAGAACAGCCAAACGCTCCTACAGACAGCATGATCTCTGGCCACAATCTTTGAGATACTTGAAATGAATACAATAACATTTAAAAAAAATTAAGCTAAACTTGTTAGAGATTTTTTATTTTCCTTAGTCAGGAATTTATTTCTTGAGATTAATTAAATGATTTAATTAACATCATCAAGATAACATTTCTTTAAACACAACTGCAGAATTCAATCAAATTCAAAACCAGAATTCAATTTGATTAGATGCAAAAAGTGTGCCCAAGTAAACACTTGAAATACTGTGTGTATGGATTCTGTTTACATGCAACAACAAATCCCACATTAGAGAACATTGATGATGTTGAGATACTTGCCTTAACTCTTATTAAGATTTTTCTGAATGAGGCCATGGACATTGGATCTGTTTGGATTAAAACATACATTTTCCTAGTTTGTTTCAGTATCCTAATTAGTGCAAAACCAAAAAGTTGAGACAATTATAATTTATAAATGATCATAATTGTCCTTAGGTGGCTTTACATATATATACATTAATCAGATTATGATTTCTAATGTTTTTTCTAAACTTCCTGTATGTGATTTGTTTACAGAGGACGTGAAGCGTCTGAATGAGAAGCTGACAGAAACCAGCAAAGTCAAGTTGGAGCTGCAGTTAAAACTGGATGATATACAGTCATCTGAGGCGTCTGTGCAGGTAATGTTTGTGTATTTCCACCGCAGTATGCATTCTTTATAGCCTTTTCCTGCTTCTCCAATGATGGCACGTATGATTACAAATTCTTGGCTAATATTTCAGTATGTTTGCTTTCAATGGTATTCTTCCAGTGTTTCAACTTTTAACATATTCATGTGAAAACTGCATGTTTATTACATCGGCCACCAAATTATTTACTAAAGCAGGGTCAAAAAATTCTGAATCTGTGTTTGGTTCTTGACTGATCCAGTTGGCACAGAACCTCAGTACGCTAAGTTGCTAATGTGCTTTTTTGGTTCCATGTCCTGCCTCTGTATGTTGTAGCACCGAGAGAAGCGCATGGAGCAGGAGAAAGAGCTGCTGGAGAAGAAGATCGAGTGGTTAACTTCAGAGCTGAAGAAAAAAACGGAGGAATTGTTGAACAGTAATAGAGAGAAAGGCAAAGAGATACTGGAGCTAAAGGGTAATCTGAAGAACAGCAAGGAGCAGGTGAGACTCAAACAATATGCACACATTGAGTATTCATGTTTCAATCAGTTACATCAAATCAATTGTGGCACTTTGTGTGTTCTTCTCCTCCATGTGAACAAAATGTAATTTGGGCTTCACACTGTCTGTCTGTCAGCCGGACCAGATCTATGATTTACCTTTACAAGAACTGTTTAGTCCAATCAGGTCTGTCACAGACTACATCAAATGTTGACCAGTTTCAGCTTTCACTGTTCTAGATCGTTCTACTCTGATTTGACTGAAAAAACTTATTAAAAGCAAAAACATTAAAGGGATACTTTACCAGTTGAAACATGAATCTGTATTGTAATTGGGTCATGAAATAGAAATGTAAATATCCTTCTTGACCGAGAAAAGGCAGAAAGTGTCTTTTTGGCTCATGTGGATGAGAGACAACAACTTCCAGAATGCACAGCCGCTGCCTGTTCCTCCAACAGCCTCAACTAGAGTATCCCTTTAAGATAAGAGCAATCCAGGGAACACCACTTCAAAGTTGAATGAGTGTAAAAAGCATTGAAAACATTTGAGTTTTTATGCATTCCAATGTAGTCAGTCTGAACAATCCTGCTGTGTGCTGAATTACTCTCGCTGCTGTACACAGGACAACCATTGGTCCAAAAAGTGACCTTCACTCTAACAACTGTTCATGTATATAACATTGTGCGTGCGTGTAACATGTCTCAACGACACAGTGGGAAACAATGTATCCATATTTTATGAAGAATTGGATGAATCTATATCTAAATCTTTAGTTCTACTAGCGTTTGAATAACTTCACTCTTTCAGGTGACAAGACTTGAAAGTCAGCTGACTTCTCTGAAGGATACCAGTGAAAATCAAAACAAAAGAGCAGCAGACCTCAACAATAAACTGAAACAGGTAATAAAACACACACGTGATGTTTGCAGCCATGTGTAAATGATTATTGTCGACGTCTCTAAAATAGAGCTGAGGATTCTCCGACCACTGTGAAGACCCTAAACTCTAAGATAATAATAAAGTTTGAATTTACAGTAGTCGGAGACTTCTAAACAACCTACATTTAAGCCTCGGGTTCACTAAGTTATTGAAGATATAAGAACCCCAACAGTTGCTTTAGAAATTTACTTTTCACTTTTTAGTTTGTTCATATTTTTTGTAAATATTTGCACATTATATGCACATGATGTCTTTGTAGGCTAAAGATGAGCACAGTGCCATGGAGGAGAATACCGCAATGAGCTCAATGCTCATGTCAAGTTATCGTCGCTCTACAAGGTAAGAGTTAAACTCAGCCATTGTCCTGTCATGTTGCAGCCCAGCAGGTAGACTGTATGTAACATCTTTATTCTTCCTGAAGGGGTCAGCGACAGAAATGGAGACAAAGAACCAAGAACTGAGCAGAGCTGTGGAGGAGCTCAGCAAACTGGTTAAAAACACAGGGGAAGGTAATATCATCATCATCCTCCTTCACACATGCCACATGTTGATGCAGCTTTTAAATATCATGGCTGATTGCTCCCTCTCAATGTTTTGTCCTTGGATGATTTCACATTTGTTCAAAAGGATTAAGTTTGGGCCTATTGACATTTATCTGGTCCAGCCCTGCCACACACTTACACGTATCTGATGTTAAACCTGTTACATCATCCATGTTGTGATGTAACAGGTCGGGGAAAGTAAAATGATGCATGCTGCTTTTATTCAGATATAAACCCAGAACCCCCCGGGTGTCTCACATGGCATCAGAGCAGGTTGTTTTACAAAGTTAACACCTTCTGGTTAAATATTGTTTAACCAACTCCACTGACATCATCAGAGAGCAGTGTCCTGCTCCCTTTTCACTGGCCTCATGCTCGCCCCTCTCAGCTTCCATCACAAAACCACCTGTCCAATGAGGATTCTGATAAAACTGTACTCCCCCTTTACATTATAAACTGTCTTTTTTATTTTTAAAATCATATTCTGTGTATGTTTCCATCCAATAAGTGTTGACCTGTTTGAGTGATCTGTCTTTATAGCTAACAAGGCTCTTGAGAAGAAGGTGTCAGAGGGAGAAGAACTCAAAGTGCGACTTGAGGCAGAGCTAAGAGAAAAAATCAAGAAAATGGAGAAAGAACTGGAAAATTCCATGATGAAGGCGGCTAGCAAACAATGCTGTAAGAACAAACAACACACACACACACACACACACACACACACACACACACACACACACACACACACACACACACACACACACACACACACACACACACACAACTGTCCTGTGATTTCAGCACAATGTATTCTCATATTTGTAAAGTGTGTGTGTTCACGTAAAGTTGGATCAAAAAGACTGAAAATATCCTGGTCAAAATATAATTAAGTATACTGAAAAAAGGAAGTGACATGAGAACGAGAGGTGATAATCTATTATGCAAAGGTTGATCAGGAAAATCTTAGTTTAATTAGCCAGTTTTTCACATGTTATAACGCCACTCTTCATCAAATCAGTGGAGACGTTGCCAGCTTGATTACATACTTTTGTTGAAGAGACTGAAGAAACAAATGAATCCTAAGATTCTCTGAAATCAACGTGCATTTATCAAATATTTATATTTACAGTGGTTGGGCTAATATTATCATTTAGAATGAATGTTGTGTCTTACACAACAAGTAAAGTACAAAGGTAACTTGATTAGGGTTTCAAAAGGGGGAAGCTTTCCATGGGCAGTTAAGCTGGGGAATTTTGTAAATATTCCAAATCGGAAACTTTCCATTGGAATTAATGGGAAATTGAGGTTAATTTAATTGAACTGTATCATATTCAAGCATAAATCTAAACATTTAGTTTTGTCATGAGCAGACATCCATGCAAAATACTACGATTTAAAATCATGACATGTGTGCGTGTGATGGAGGAATGCACAGTGCATGTAGGGGGCGTGGCCTCAATAGCCCTGCAGTAAGCAGTGTGCTGTGTGCATGTGATTGTGGAATAGCAGAGATATTCAAGTGGACTGGCATGACATCTGGTTGTTTTAGTCAAGATTATACTAAAATATATTTTCCCCAACTATATTTAATTTACCTGTTAAGGGCCAACCTTCAATTGAGTAAATTCCTGGTTTATTCCCATTAATTCCCATGGAAAGTTTTCAACTAAGAAAATTCCCTGAATTTTGCAACCCTAAACTTGAGTCATGGTCTCAGACACTTTGACCTCACTGTATGTGTATTTGGTATGTGTAAAGATATGACTGGACACACCTTTTTGTTCATGTATGGTTCTAGGTGTCCCCTCTCTGTCTGAGGAACAGTTGAACTCTATGTGTCCAACAGCAGCTGCCATTGCTGCTATCGTCAAGCCTGGCATGAAGTTCTTTGATGTAAGTTAACACACATGCATAACAACAAGTGATCAAATTAATATTAGAAAACCTTCAACTGTAATCGGCTTCTTTTACTTTGTTTGGCATAACGCCAATGCTGGGGCTGTAAGACCTCCTGCAGCACTCAAACTCAGCACTTTAACCCTTTAAGGCATATTAACGCTTTCATATTGATACCACATCTGCTTCGATGTATTTTTTGTCAGTTTTCTGTTCCAAAGCAACAGACACTACGGTATTTAAACCTTCTGTTTAGAGTAGTGCATTGCCACTTAAAAGGCATTATGAGGAGATTTTCTTTAGAGAAGTCTAGACACGCTTGTTCAGGGCTGGATTGGAAAAAGACAATGAACAAGCAAGAATAGATAAAGCATCGTTGAGTCTCTGATCCTTTTCCTCTGAGTTAGTATAGCTTTAATGATTAATCACATTTTAAGATACAGCTTCACACAGACATTACTGTAATCTATAACCTAAGCCTTTGTGTCACATTGTTAATCTCATAGCTACTCATCCCTTACCTTATTGCTATGCATCCTGCAAACAGTTGTGTTTACAAATGGTAATGTATGTATTGTCCAGATATCACACAAGGCTTTCATAACTACAGGAAACTCATTGTCTCTTTAGAAGCTTCAAAATTAATCACAAAATAACATACAATGTTAGTAATTATATAATATGACTGATAGTTTTTTGGCTGATGTACACTGTTTACAATTGTTCTCACAAGCAATTTCCCCAAAAATGTTATAAAAAAGTATTAGTAAGAAGAAACATTTAGAAAGATGTCCTCTGAAAATGGTCAGTGATTTAAAAAAAAAAAAAACAAGTGGCAGTTAGCTGTTAAAAAGAAAAACCCCCAGTATTCTTAATTTAAGAACAGAATCTGGCTGACTGAAGCTTGTGTAGTACTTATAATGAAGGTAAAGTAACAGTAGTCTGCTTGATTTAGGTTGTTGTAGCATGTGTTGATTCTTTGTCCTCTGTCTTGTTGTTTAGCTGTACAATGCATACGCAGAGTGTCAGACGCAGCTTCAGCTTGAGAAACAGGAGGTCAGGAGAGTGAGCAGAGTGCTGGATGAGATCGTCCAGGAGGTGGAGTCCAAGGCTCCTGTTCTCAAACGTCAGCGGGAGGAGTATGAGAGCATGCAGAGATCCATGGCCTCGCTGTGTAACAAACTGGAACTGGCTCGAAGTGTGAGTGTTCATTCTAGTGTTTTGTCAAGTACATTTATTTTTATTTCATATAACCGCACGTTCTGTTGTTAAAAAATGTATTTTGTTAAATTTTTCTCATTAGGAGATCTACAGTTTGCAGAAAGACAAAGAAGAGGCCAAGCAGGGCTGTGAAGCCATGGAGAGAGACAAGTTGAGGGCAGAGAGACAGCTCGAGGACACATCTGCACAGGTTCCTACACAAACACAAAACACACACAACACACACACTGTCTCTGTAACAGGTTCAAAATAAACTGTCCCTTAAGTGTTTGCTGCAAACTACAAAAGCAAGTTCCATTTGATATTTTAAAACATTTTATTCTCAAACTTTAAATTCACTATTTTATCGATTTTGAGTTCAACATGCAACATTTATTTGATGTTTTACTCAAAACGGAACATATGGACAAATACATACAAACATGTATTTTATACTATATTGCTAATTCAAGTTTTCAGAAGCTCACACAGACGATGGCCGGGAATGTTCAGGAGAAACTGTGTGTGCAAAAGGGGTATAAGACAGAAGACATGCAGCATGACAAGAGATACAGAAATCCTCAACTTCCTTTACAAAGCTTTTATGGAAGACAATCCTATCATGGGCTTGCTTTTGTAGGCAAACTCGACATGTGCCAACATTAGTCACATGTTGCTGAGGTGTGCTGTGTGAAGTTATTGATATCTACAGAGAAAGGTTGTCTGTTGGGTTTAAGTAAATCAATTTATTTAATACATACTCTTTATTCTGTCTTTGTGGGTTATTTAACAAGTTCAGCCATCGGTTTCTAGGAGGAACTTAAGTTAAAAAGGAGTTCTCAGTGATATCTTTATCTCTTTAAAGTACTCAACAAAAAGGTGAACAGGATTGTTAAAATGTTTTAGTAATAATGAAAAAATAAGAGAATAACAGGAGGACCCTAAACATGGATGCAAGTGCTTCCAGTCATTCATTTTTCTTGTATCTAGGTGTGTACTCTGCTGGTGGAGTTGGAGGAAGCCAGAGGTAATCAGGTGACAAAGGAAGACGGCAGCTCAGCCAACATTTCCAGCACCAGCGAGGTCATCAGTTCATGCCAGCTGACCTTCCGCAGTGTGAATGAGCTGCAGAGTCAGAACCAAAACCTTCAGAGGAGGCTGAGGGAGCTGGAGGAGGAGAAGGACCGACAGCAGAGACAGCACACATCTGAGCGGTAATGTTTCCAACTGACTGTTTCTGTACAAGTCACACCCAGGTCCAAAATCCAAAGGTTAAAGACAAGTGATAGGTGCAAAGAAGAAATTAATTTCTATTCATTTTCAGTTTCAGTGGGATAAAGAGAGAGCAATAATATGATTTGTGAGTTGTTTTTCATGAAATAATGGTGGTATAACCATCACATGTTTGAGAGTTAGGAAACATAAAGACAAATTTACATTATTAAACCGCCATTTCGTCATTAATAAGTGTGTAAGAGTTTTTGAATCAGACTTCCACATAGAGGAACATATTGGTGTATGGGATTGATCCATTGATCTAAACCTACATTTTAACAAAAAAATGTCCTGGAAATGATCTTTAGAAAAGAGTGGGAACCCCAAATGTCTTTAGTATTTAGGAAGTACTGTCTTTGTCAGTATCTTAGAATTAAGATAAATATATTCTTTATTAATCCCACGAGGGGAAATTACATTTTACACTCTGTTGTTGAACATGCTATACACACACATGCACAAACAGGATCCTGTGAACATTCACTAATGCAGAGATTTCAGAGTGAGGGGGCTGCCCACAGAGAGCTCCAGAGCTGGTTGGGGGGGTACGGTGCCTTGCTCAAGGGTACCTCAGCAGTGCTCAAGAGGTGAACTGGCACCTCTCCAGCTACCGGACCAATTTCCAGACTTGATCTGCACCGGGACTTGAACCAGCGACCTTTCACTTCAGGAAATGAATCAACTTAAGCGAACCCAAGTTACTATACAAATCTTTTACATGCACCCATTATTAAATCATATAATTAATATTATAGTACTCATTAGAGGGAGATGTCAGAGCAAAAGTTGTGTGTTTGTGTCGCTGTTAACAGCTCTACAAACATTAAAAGTCCAATTTTTTATTTAAACATTTTACACTTTACTGTCATCACAAAAATGAGTTCTAACATCCTTATTTTTATTAAAACGACTGGTGTACTGAAAGTTACTATAGCTCTCCTTAACAAGAGTAACTTACTATCGTGTGGAAGAAGCTGTGACTCTTTTTACTGAACAAGCCAATTCATTGATATAAGCTCAGGTGAAGCTCTATTGTGTCATTGATAATGATTACAAATGTTTTCGGTTTTCTTCAGGGTGTCAGATTTAGAGGGATGTGTGAGTAAGCTTCAGAAGGAGGTGGAGCAGCTGAGGGAGCAGAGGAACCAACAGAAACAACTGGCTGACTCCAACAGCAGACAGAGAGACATGTACAAAGCCTTGCTGACGCAGAGCACCGGCTTCAGCCTGCCTCCTCAAGGTGACACAAAGAGGCCGACGTCTCTGTGACTTTATTTTACTTTGACAGTGCAATGATGTTAACGGAATAAGAGCCCTTTGTGTGTATCTGCAGGTCCAGACTCTTTATCCCACACCGCCTGCGTGAGGCCCACGGTCCCAGCTACTCGCTCTACTCCTCAAAGAGCTGCAGCTGCTGACTCAGCACAGACTGCCCAGGCTAAAGCTGCTTTAAAACAGGTATGCGCAAGCGTTTACAAACACCCTTAAATGTCAATGCCTTCACATCCTCGTATAAATTGAGTGAAAAAGTGTGTGTGTGTGTCCCTCCCCAGCTGAATGATGCCTTCACTTCGTATAAGAAAGAGAAGGCGGAGAATGACAGGATGTTGAATGAGACAAATGACAGACTGCAGAATCAGCTGTCTGGACTTCGCATAAATCATGCCAAGCTGAACTCTCAACTAGAGTTCAGCAATAAGAGGTCAGTTACACCACTCCTGGTGCTTTTTTTCTTGCTCCCTATTTCAGGATTTGAAGATCGATGTATTTTTAAAGTCTGTGTTTGTTCTGGTCGTCTCTTTGATTCTCAGGCACGAGATGCTCCAGGAGACTGTCTCTGCCTACCGCAGAGAAATCTCTGCACTTCAGGATAAGAATCAAAAAATGGCTGCAACTGCCCAGCGACACGAGCACATCATCCACACGATGAGCCAGGACCTGGGACAGGCTAAAGAAAAACTCGCACTTGAAGAGGTGAGAAAGAAGGGAAGCTATATATCATTCCACGTTTACATATGATGTTGGAAAGGTATCAACTCTATAAATTCGTTACACATTGACTGAAAGTTGGACAAAGTATTTTCTTTCATTTTTTTAACATGTTCTTGTTGTGCATTGTGGTAGGGAATTTCAAACAGTGTACCATTTGGGGCGGCTGGGGCTACTTGGTAGAGTCGGTTGTCTCTCAATCGTAAGGTTGGGGGTTCGATCCCCAGCTCCTTCAGCAACATGCAATACTTTTTCCAAGTTACTCCCTCTGCCTCGTCAGTGGCATTTGCCTGTGTATGAATAGATTAGTTACTTCTGATGGTCACTTTACTCAGCAGCCTCTACCATCAGTGTGTGAATGTGTATGAATGGATGAGTTAATACTGATGGACTCTTTACTCAGCAGCCTCTACCATCAGTGTGTGAATGTGTATGAATGGATGAGTTAATACTGATGGACTCTTTACTCAGCAGCCTCTGCCATCAGTGTGTGAATGTGTAGGTGTGACCCGCAGTGTAAAAGCAATTTGAGGTGTCAGAAGACTAGAAAAAAGCACTATACAAACTCAAGTCCTTTTAACATTTAACCCTTTATTGCTCTAGGACAGATAAGGCCCATCAAAACCAGAGGGGAAAACAAGTCACGGCTCTTGATTGATTTTGTGTCTCCTTTGGATTTCCGCAGACAACAGAAAAAATCCAAACACAAAAATCTAGCTGGATTTCTACCAACATGGTAACTGAGTCTTTAAAAGAGAAAAAGTCATTAGAGAAGTGAGTTATGTGTAGGAGGATGTTAAAACTGAAGGAACCTGAGGCTAAAACTGTACACACAAAACAACTGGTAGAGAACAATGAAATGAAGACAGACAAACAGTATTAGTTTAGTTTATTTGTACAGTATAGGAAGCAGCTTTAGCCTTTTCGGCTCATTTCCAGCTGTAGTCCCCTGCCAGTTGTCAGTAAGCAACCTAAAACACAATCATTAAGATTTAAAATACAATAAAATACATTACATTTATAATTACAACAGGCCTAAGCAAAAGGACAAGAGACATAGATTTCACATTTACATATGATGTTGGAAAGGTATGAACTTTATAAATTCTGTGAGACAACGTTACAAATTGACTGAAAGTTGGACAAAGTATCTTCTTTCATTTTTTAAATATTCACACACAATTGGAGCAGGCACAAACAAAGCATAATCAAAGCAGTTCATGCAATAAAGACAATACTGAGGCAACAAGGGAAAAGAATAATCACAGAGGCCACATTGAAAGCACATACAAGACTTGACATGGAGGCAGACAGCAGCGGTCATTAAGTTTGATAATATCATTTCAGCCTTAAGTCGTTGTTTGTCCCCTATTGGACATAGTTTAGAGTGAATGATGTGCTGTACTCTTACCTCTTTTAGAGCTGCCTTTACACCACTCCATGAAGCATATATACTTGTTGGATTTATTAAAACTTTGAGCTGAACATCACCTCGCTGTTGTCTCTTGTGAAAGGTGCGTGTAGAGAATCTGACTAAAGAGAGAGACATGCTAAGACAAGCCGAGAGTCGCCTCGGTCGAGAGAAGGAAGCCATACTGACAGAGCAGCGGAACCAGAACCTTCTGCTCACCAACCTCAAGACGATTCAGGTAACATTTAATGCATAGAGTAATATGTTGTTTTATTCAGCTAATTTTGACTGCTATACTGCAGTAACAATAAATGTATTAGGATGGTAAAGGGGACATATTGTGAAAAATCCACTTTGTGTTTTTCAACATATATCTGTGTAACCTGAGTGTCTACTGACCCACAAAATGTGAAATAAACCCATCCAGTCCTTTGTTTGTGGTCTGCATAAGTCTTATAACACAGAGAAAAATTCTCCGTTTCAAATTTGCTCTCCTTGTGATGTCACAGTGGGATTCTGGTAAAAAAAAAAAATACCCTCCAATCCACATGGACTCCACCCCCAGCCTAGAACAAAACATTTGCGCATGTCATTTTTATTCTCTCTACAGAGGAGTGATGTGTACAGGGAAAACTCGGGGGAGGGGGTCATTGCATTTAAAGAGACAGACACACCAAAATGGAGCGTTCTGAGAGAGCTGGTTTATACAGGGTCACAAACCTCCTCTGGTGCTTGATTCAGGTTATATTTTGACCAAAGCACAGCACAGATGTTTCATATAGACCACAGGGGGAATGTTTGAAAAGGTGGAGAAGGGGGATAATATGTCCTCTTTAATAGATAAAGATTTAAGACCATGGTACTTTTTCCACACTAGATATAATATGTAGCCAACAGTATCTGTTGATCCATATCTTGTTATTGTCTACTGTTTACTTGCAGTTTCTGTCTTTTATAAGGAAATAAATGATATGGACTTTTCTCTCACATTGATGTAGTTGACGATGGAGCGTACTGAGACAGACACACGGCAGCGATTAAACAGCAAGATAGAGCAGCTGGAAGCAGAACTGGCTTCAATGAAGATCAGGCTGGACCAGGAAGTCGCAGAGAGACACACCCTGGGGCGCACCATGGATGTATGTTGAGTACATTGTTATGTAATTACGTTCAGTCCTTCGTATTGTCTGACACAGCTTGTGATCTCGTTTTATAAATTCTCCTCATCCAACTCTAACTTCCACCTCCTCACCAGGCTAAGTTGTTAGAAGCTAAGAAACAGCTGGAGACCCAGAACACATTGCAGCAGAAGACCAGGGATCTTTTGCGTTCCTCTGAGCAGCAGCTTGCTGGACTGAAAGCCCAACTGTCCTCTGCTTCACCCTCTGATGCTGTTAACACCTCGAGCAGCACAGCTACTCCAGCTTCTAAAGCGTCAAGCCTCAAAGCACCAATGAAAGGTAATCGGCAGTACAGGAGCCAAGACCTTTTTTATTTTTTATTTGGACCAATAATAAGAACTTCAACAAGTGTCAGACCTCTGAAATCCTGAGATGTCTAAACATGTAGAATATATTGATGAATGATATGTTGGATAAGCATGTAATATGTTATTTAATATGTCCATGCTCTCAGTATGCTCTCCAGTGCCAACAGCCTCCCTGCAGGCCAGCCAATCAGAAAAGGAGCTTGTAGACGTGAAAGGTCGTCTGCGTACTGCTGAGGAACAAAAAAGTGAACTAGCAGAGCAACTGAAGAATGCCACTGCTTATGTACAGCAGTACAAGGCTGTGGTACTGGCTTTGGAAGACAGTCTGAAGCAAGAAAAGGAGGTACAGGTCAAATGTTTTAATATAAGTTATTAAGTAAGGAGGATCAGAGTCCCCCCCTCATATCTGTTTTACTCTCCTACAATCCACTCTTTTTTTCAATTCATGCACACCCATCCACACGTGTCAAGTGATCATTCCCTGTTGTTTAGTCTCGCTTACCTCTGGAGATCCGTCTGAAGGAGTATGAGGAGGTGCAGCAGCAGCTGGAGGAGAGGATTTCAGAAGCTGAGAAAATGAAGCAACAGGCGCAAGAAGAGAGCAGACAAGCTGTCGATGTGGTTGAAAAACGAGTAAGCCCGTTGCACACTTTTTTACAATGAAACATTTGCAGCAGAAATGGGTCCATTGTTTAAACAGTTGTTGCGTCTTTCATTATGAAGGTTTTGAGGTGGAGGGACACAAATACAATCAGTTTTTACAATATAATTTAGGACCTTAAATAACTTAAAGCAACTGTAAGTTAAATTAAAATTAATAGGAATCAATTAGCAATTAACCTTTTTAATAAAGCAACGAGTAAGGTTTTTTACCTGCTTTTTGTAAACAGACAACATCTGTGATGACTTTACAAACAAAAATTGTTTAAACAACCGAGGTCTGGACCTCACTGATATCATCGCCTCCCGCCGTTACATAACCTCATTTCATTCTCGATTCCGTTATCACAACAGTCGAGCCTCAATTTGAGATGCTTGTTAAAAGGGTTCTGTTTGTCGCCGTCCAATGTGCAAATGTTAACTGTGCAAACTATGCAGATAGCAGCCTAGCTGTTTCTCCACGCTCTGTGATATGATTGTTAACCAGCTACTTCAGCACTTAAACATCAGTGCACCCTTGCACCAGCCTTTCAGCCTACACAGTATTGAGAACCCAGTGTCTGAACTTATTTTCCCTGCCATCTTCTCCAGGTGTTGGAGCTGCAGCGCATTCTGAAAGCCAGCCAGGCAGAGCAGCAGGAGGCACTGGAGAGAGCTGCTGCTGCTGTCACACTGGAGCAAAAAGCCATACAGGACAGCCTGCTGCAGGTTCATTCATATACACTAAAACCCTTATAATTGTGTTTATCCCCAGTAAGCATGCATATCATTCAGAGCATCATACTCCTATCTGCAAGCAGCAGCATAAACATATTTGCCTTAACTATTCCCCCCCTCTGTCTACCACCCAGACAAAGCTAGCTGGAGAAGCACAGGCTAAGTATGAGCGGGAGCTGATGCTTCACGCTGCTGACGTTGAAGCTTTGCAAGAGCTGAAGAACGGTTTCCAACAAGAAGCAGTGCGGAAGAGGGAGTTAGAAGATCAACTGAACAAGTCGTCGGGTCTACTGCTGGAGAAAAGTGCAACCTGGAACACAGTGGAGAGACAGATGAAGGTAGGACGACTACGGCCTATATATCCTCATAATTAGTCAGAGTGCAGACTTTTGATTAATAATATTGTAGAGTGAGAGCGACTGCTGGCTGATGTGAGTACTCTCAGAATATATGAAGAGATCAGTGTGGGTCCCTGAAACATACAAACGTTACAAATAGACTTGTGTCATTCTTAGATTTTTACATTAGGTTACATTTACACAACACATAGTTCAGGGGCACTGGTCTGTAGTCCTTAAGGTCCTTAGCATGTGTCTTTTTGGGGATAGGGATTATGGAGGCTTCCTTCCACTGGTTGGGGACACACCCAGAATCCAACAGGTGGCAGGCTTTGGGACAAACTGCCCTCTCTCAGGTGGAAACAGGAACTGTGTGTTACCATGGTTACTCAGCAGTATCTTGCGGGAACGGCTTTTTTTTTTTTGCAGCAAATTTTTTTTCCTACATTGTTTATTGTAATTTATCATTTAAGTTAATTTATTGTAATTTTTAGAACAGGGTGTCCTAAATTAATGCAAAGACAAGGATATTATTGTTGAACATCAGAGCAGCAAAAAGTGTATTTTTTGTTGTTGAATTAAGATTTCACAAAGACATCAAATGTAGAAAAATAAAGAATAAATAGTGCGACAGTCCCTGTAAATATAAAACACTTTACAATAAATAAACATAAATTTGATCCTCAAAACACATGTGAAGTTGTTAACGTCTGTATGAGGATATTAAATGTCTATCTTAGTTGGAGCAGTGTTTATTGACACTTGAACTCACATGTTGCTGTCTCCATGACGACCGGACACAATAGGCGTTGCACGTGATCCTAAAGTCGGCATCGGTGCACACTCGCTGGTGGAGGGTTTTATAACCCACTACCACTCCTCGCTAGTTGGTTTGGGACGGACTTAATAAGACGGACCCTCCGCGAGGACGCGCAAACGGAGGAGTAGTGGGTAGGGGTAGTGGCCGGTTTGAAAAAGGGCCCAGCTTTTCATCAACAGGGAGGGCTTTGTGGGTGGAGCAGATCCAGTTGGTTGGTGTGCTGCTGCTGTTAGACCGGGTGAAGGTGTTGAGCTGCTCTGCAAAGTAGGCAGGTTTAGGGGCTCTGCCCATCATGATTTTTAAACCCTGCCATGCCTCCCTTGCATTTCCACAGGTTAATTTGTGCTCCTACTTGTTTCTGTAGATGATCTTAGCCAGCCTAGCCATCCTTCTGAACTCTTTCTCTAATTCCTTCACCCTGAGCTTGTCTCCTTGTAAGAAAATACATTTTTTTCTCGACTAGATATTCTGGTGGTGGTTGTGACATATTGCTACATATTGGGCAGATGTGGGGTTATGCCACACCTGTTAAAATCTCCCAGTACAAACACTGGCTCTCCAGTCTGATTGACAGCTCTGTGCTCAGCAGCCAGGTCCCTGGTACGTTTGTACAGTCATTTGGGAGAACCCTGCTCTTGAAAATGTCTTGCCTCTCTGATTGGTCATAACGGGACGGCTCTCCTTCAGGTGGATCTCGCCAACAAGAGTCGTGTCTGTGAAGACCTAAGAAAGCAGAATGCGCTCCTGCACCAGCAGATGGAGGAAGTGTCCACCAGGAGTCGTCAGACGCAACAACAACCGCAATCACAGCAGCTTGACCTGTCATTCAACGAGGAAGGGAAGACCACTGAACAGATACTTGAAATACTCAGGTAATGTCTTTGTCTTTTCCCTTCACACAGAAACGCACCGTTTTGTAGAAATGGATGAAAACTATTTTTTTAATTATATTTTTATTTTATATATATATTTATTATATATTTTTTTAAACTACATTTTCCATATATGCACTCTGTATCCCAACGTATTGTAATTGGATATGCTGTGGCTCTGCATATTTATGTGTTATAGGTTTGTGCGACGGGAGAAAGACATCGCCATCGCTCAATTTGAGGCAACAGAGGGAGAAGCTCTTCGTCTCAAACAGCGAGTGGAACACCAGGACAGAGAAGTGAAGGAGCTTAAGGAAGCTCTGAACGCTGAGAGGGAGAAAATGCAGGTATGGAAAAAAGTGACATAAGTAAGGATGGGCAATGAAATTCAGGGGATTTGGACAGTTTACTGATTGGTAGCCACGAGCAATTTGCAAAAAAAAAGCTCTATTTGATAATTGCTGTCTGTTTAAACGTCTTTTCTTCGGCTCAGGCTACAGCAAAGATGCTGGCGCAGCAGGAGGAACAGCTGAAGAAGATGCAGACGATAGGTGCCCTCCAAGAAACCAACAGGCTGCTGAAAATGGACAGAGATAAACTGGAACAAGAGCTGAAGCAATTTCAGGCTAAAGTAAACTCCAAGTTTTACATTTGAATGTTTGTCCTCTTGTTCCTCTTACTGGTTTTAAGTGTCGCTACAGTATGTCTGAGGGTTCAGTCACTTGATCAATCCATGCTTATTGCTTTCATGAAGTGGCTGAAGCTCATTCAGGATAACGTTTTTTCAAGGAGGACTAATATCTGTCCATATAAGTTTTACTTTTAAAGCATGTAACTTACAATTTGTGTTATCTATTTGTAGGTTTTATTAAGATAAATGTAAAAAATAGGCTTTAATAACTGTTGTTTTTCAAACTTTTATAAAGATTTGAGGTCTTATTTTATGCCTGGTGTTTACACTTAAGGAACTTCAGTTCCATTTTCACCATGATCCCTCACACAGGGTCTGATCCTCAGGCAGAGTTCCTTAAATACAGCTAAAGAGAAATGTTTATTTGACCGTCTGTTTTGATTTTTAAAAACTCTTTGATGCATCAGGTAATGGCTACCCAATGAGTTTTACTGCTCCGATGCACCGGTACTTTACATTTTGTGCGTTCTCATGATTTTTGGGGATTGAAAAGAGCGTTGCTGTTTCACCAATAAATATAAATAGAGCAGATCGGACCAAAACATAGAATAAAGTCAGTAGAAGAGGACATTTCCCTTCAATGTTCTTAATCTTCTGTTAAGCTCACAACATGCCTCCTCTTCTGTTTTCTTCGGCCTCCGTCAGGTTATGAAGCTGCAGTCAGACATTGGTCCTCTACACCACTCTATGTCTCAGCTGTCAGAAAAAAATGGCTCTCTGTGTGCTGATAAGAAGATACTAGAGGACGACCTAAAGCGTTGGAAAGCCAAAGCACAGGTACTTTCACTGTTTGTATAAACTCACAAACCTGCCTTTTGTATACCTGGTTTATGAATTTTCTTTCTCAATTGTACTACAGATGCACTTTAAAGAAAAAAATCTTACTTTCTATTTGAATAGTATTCAAATATTTCAGGTTATCCTCTTTTTCACAGTTGTATTTTTGTTGTGTGTTTCATTTAAACTTGTCCCCGTGCAGCAACTGATCAGTCAGCAAAAAGATGGCAATGATGAGGAGAGACAGAAATTTGCCTCTGAGAGAGAAGCTCAGCAGAGACGTATCGCACAGCTCGCTGAGGAAACAGCCAAGCTAAAGATTGAACTGACAAGGTAGAGCACCTACTCAGACGCACATGAGCTCAGGTTTAAAGCAAAAACATAACATGACACTGACATGCCCAGATTTGATCAAAACACAAAAAAACATAAGCACATTAAATTAATCCAGACTGACTATAATTATCCTTTGGTTTGTGCCTGACCTTAAACCATTAATTAATCAGAGGAGCAATTACAGACGGCTGTTTTGTTTCAAGGCAGATTGATCGATTCAAATAAACTCAGTGAGATTTTTGTATCTGTGCATTAGAGCCAATGTGAGCAGTAACTCTGCTCAGTCCCAGCTGCAAGCCTTCAGAGACTCTGTCGCCCGTCTGACGTCAGAGCGCGACTCGCTAAAGAAAGACGTGGAAACCAAAAACGGTGATATTCTGGAGAAGATCAAGACTATCAACCAGGTCAAGAAGATTGGACGACGCTACAAGACCCAGTATGAAGAGCTCAAAGTTCAGCATGACACGGTGGGACTGATTTATACATTGGTCTAAGTTAACGGCTTCTGGAGCCAGTCGGATTAAGTATGGAAAAAATTACATTTTTTGTGTGTTTTTTTTTTTTTTTTCAGGAAGTGACTAAAACCCAGGAGGAACTCAACAAGGCCAGAGAGGAGCTCAATACATTGAAAAACGAGGTTCAAAATAAAGACGAGGAGGTGAGCAGGAGAACTGGAAGACGTATTAGCCCCGCCTACAACATTTTATGAATATCTCGGACACCAGAATAAAAACAAACAACTTTATCAGATAAGGGGGGGTTTATAGTACATATTTAAACTGAGTTATATTGTAATTTGATGCTTACAACTTTCCCAAGATGGTTCATTATGTAATCAACATCACCCCCGCTTACTGGTTTGCATTTCATTTTCTGAAATATTGCCTGTTAGTTCACACTGTAGAGCGATGTTGATAGATTTTCACAATAGAAACTCCTATCTTGTTGCTTTTTGTTATTGAATGAATATTTATAATATTTATGGCCAATGCTTGTTTTTTATTTTTATGTACTTAATAATGATTTCAGTCATCGCACAACATTTGCATCTGAAATATCAAATACAGTATTTTTCAACCAAGATTGTATTAAATACATCTCTGTGTGTGCAATGTTCTTGTTTTGAAGTAATCATATCTTTCTAACAGGATGTTCAACTTATAAAGGTTGTTGTTGTTTTTTCACACAGGTCCAAAAATCCCAGAAGGAGCTGGAGCAGGCCAAGAAGGAAAACCAGCAAGCCAAAGAAAAGTTCCAGGAGATTCAAAACCAATTATCACAGAACCAGAACCAGCTGACAGAGGTACTCTGACACCAGTTCAGTCCAGTTCACTTCAGACCTTTATCGTCCCTGGAAGGGGAATTTGATTTACAGCAGTGGACAAAAAACACAACAGATAAAAAGACAAAAGGCAGAAAAATTAAAAAAAAATGTCAGTTCGTCGAGCATTACAAGTCAGTCAGCCCACAATTGCTGTTATTTATTTTATAGAGCTCTTGATGTTAAAGTCTTAGATGTCAATAGATTCAGCCAGAAAAAAACTGGAAATGGAGATTTAAAAATAAGCGGAAAAACATAATTGATCAATTTTCACATCTTTATAGAGGGAAAGAAGCCAAAATTATTTACTTCAAATTCTGTTTACAGCAGCAGCGAAATGTATTACGCTGAATTGGCTGAAGCCCAACCCCCTACCTATGACTTACGGATACAGACATTGTGGGATGTGTATGAAATGGAACAAATAACACGCTCAGTGAGGCTTCAAAAACCCAAATTCAATAAGAGATGGAGCTAATGCAATAAAAAATAAATAATGTATGTGTGTTTTACTGCTATTTCTTTATTCTGTACTGTGCCAAAAAATGGTTGAACATTTTTTTTCACATATTTTCTCTTCAAGGTTCAGTCCCAGTTGTCCCAGACCAAGACTCAACTTCAACAGAATCAGAACCAGCTGACCCAGAGTCAGAAGGAGCTTCAGCAAAACAAGACCAGCAGCCAACAGGTAAGAAGTAGTGCCACAACTACAACACCTGATAAAGATGTTCATTACTTGAGTTGAAATCAATTGTTATCATCTTAGGAACTTAAAATGTTTATTACCATTGGATCAAGTGTCACAGTCATTTCAGAACTATCAACCGACCACTGACTAAACACCTTCTACATTTAAAGGTACAGAACCAGTTAAAATCAACTCAGTCTCTAGCTCAAACCCGCCTGAACCAGATCCAGCAGCTCCAGAGGGAGCTCCAGCAGGCTAAAGAAGCTCTTCAGAAGAACCTTGCTAATCAGAAGGAGCTACAGCAGACCCACCAAAGCAGTCAACAGAGCCACAACCAAGAAGTCAGCAACCTCAAGAGGGCCCTTTCTCAAGCAGAGAACAAGGTGTTTACTCTATTTATTTACTTTAATTCAATACTTATTCCAATGCCCGAATTTCCCCTCTGGGGATCAATAAAGTACTATCCTATTATTACTTTAAAACATTATTCAATTTAGAGATCATATAAGTTTGCAAGGGCTGAATGCAGCTTCCTGTCCAATTTCCAATTTGATCTATAAACAAATTAATCATAAAATGTAAAAGATTAAATTACAGACTACTTAATTGGCAGTTACAATGTATCTTATTTTTAAAAATTTCCCAAAGGTATGTTCTTCCATATATTTGTTTTTCTAACTAATGTTCTGCCCATATTTGCATTTCTTTCTTTCACTTTCAACAAGTTTTTCGACTGTCTTTAAAGAAAAAATATCTAAACCAAGGGATGGCAACCTTTTCCATCAAAAGAGCCATTTTTGCCCGCAGACCCCCCCACCCCCCTTAAAATCTGTCTATAAAACACAGACACCCCCAAGAAGAATTATTTAAAAAAATAAATGTCTCTAAATATGACTTTTCTGTTTACACATTTCTAACAGATTGCCTCCCGGTAAGACTGGAAAGGAGTTTTTGCTCGCAGCGCCACTGAGGCAGAATACGAGGCACATTGAATAAAAAAATAAAGAAATAACCTAATGGTTAAAAGAAGGGCCTCACATGTTTAACAGTCAGAGACTATAAAACACTTTGAAACAATAATAATACAAATCCATAGTTTAAAAAACCCCAGATCTAGACCATACTGCACACCCTAAGTGCATCTATATACTTATGATACTTCGCTTGCTGATATTTAAACCTCTGTGTAATACTTGTGTAATACTGCTGTTTGCTAATCAGTGCACCATTGTTCTCCTTTTAGGTGTCTGAGCTTCAAGGCACTCTGGACAGCGTGCAGAAGGTTTGGAAAAGCTTCAGACTGAATATCTTTTTAAGTTATCTTCATACCTGTTGTATTGTGTTGTATGTTTTCTTAAGGATCATTGTAATGCTTCCTATATAACATACTTTATTTACATAATGCATGATTGAAGGAACTAGCTACTATGGGTTAAGCTTAATCTGCATAAATTCTGATATTTAATTTGGAGATTTTCTGAGGAAAGGCATTCACATGGTTTGATTTTGAATTATCATGGATACTTGATTGAACACTGCAGATTGTGTAACTCTACAAATATCTCTCCCTAAATAAATGTTCCCAATCCTACCTGACTCTTCTATTCTTCTTCTATCCTTACCCTAATTCTTCTATTCATTCATGCACAATGCCTTCTTTCTCCCTAAATTTCTCAGGTAACAGTAAATAACTTTTTTTGTTTTTTCTATTTCTGCTTTTTAAGGTCATTGGTGACCGTGACGCAGACATTAAGTGTCTGCAGGAGCAGCTAACAGAAGCTAACCAGGCTAATCAAACTATTCAAGCTACACAGGCCAACCAGAGCCAGAGCTCCCAATCCATCCAGGCCAACAATGCTAACGTTGCTAGTGAGGCTAACAAGGAGCTACAGGAGGAACTGACAAAACTCAGACAAGAGGTATTTCCAAGTCCAGCTGTCAAAATCAAATGTTTCATTTTGTTATAGTGACAGATCAGTTTCAAGATCAAGACCCAGCCGGGCAGGCAGCTTTAAAAAATTGTTAAACTAGTAAACGTAAAGTCAAATGCTAATGTAAAACTTTATTATCCAGAAAGGAAAGATCAGTTTTGTACACGATTACACAAGTCAGTGAATTTAAATAATAGTTTCTATATTAACTTACAGAATGTTTGTGCACATACTGTTGTCCATATGTGTTGATTGTCTGGGCAGTCTTTCACAGGATGGTGACGCCAATCTGAACTTTAAAAAGACTGAGATGTTCTTTTCATCCCGTCATGTTACTAACCTGTTACACAGTTCACCTTATTGATAGTGAAACATTCCGCTAGGTGTTCTTAACATATGTTGTCTTTGTATTTTTCATTAATATGGGGTTTTGATTTTTTTGAAAATCAACACATTCTGTTTTTGTTTTTACATTAGTGACAAGTGGCCAACTGGATGCAATGAATTCTAGTTGAGTAGTTTGTCAACCATTTTCCAGCCAGAACTATCAAGGTTCTTATTCAATGTATAAATACTACATTAAAGGCAGAATGTGCAACATTTTAGACATAAATATATCCGAAATCAAGTACAAGTATACCCTCTGAACAGAGGTGTAAAGTAAAGAATTACATTTACTCGCGTTATTGTAATTGAGTAGTTTTTTGCTGTACTTACTACTTTTTAAGTCGTTTTTAAAATCTGTACTTTTACTTTTACTTAAGTAGGTTTTCTGTTAAGTATTGTAATTAGCTACATTTTAAATCACATCCGTTACTGATGAAAAAAAAAAAGCGATGAACACATTTAGTTACGGAAAGTTTTTCACAATAAAAGTCCGTAATTGCCATCTCTCTGATGTGCTTTTATTTTGAAGCAGATGTATGAGGAAGTTGGGTGTTATAAGCTGCTGCAACTTAACACATCTCAGATGTGTGAAAATAAATACTTAGAAGCTTCAGTAGCTAATAGGTAAACAAACAGTGACTAAAACATCTAATATTTAATCTCATAAAGGCTCATTTTAAAACAATAAATGGATTATCTTTCATCTCAGGTTTAGTTGCAGCTAAGTCAGCCTTTGAGGCTGTCTTTGAGACTAACCAGCCTCAGAATAATAAAACTAAAAACACTAAAATACTCTTTACACTTTTTATGATTGAGGCAAAGATCCTTTTAGTATTTTCTTAAATAGTTTAAAGTCTTTCTATGTGTTTTTCGCACTTAAATGTAATATAAATCAAGTATATCCTCTGAAAATAACTCTGTGAGTCATGACTGTCTACAATGGGTGTAACACCCGAGTCCCACTGTCTGTGATGTTTTCAGAGTTTTCAGAGTCCTATCTTCACTTTGTTTACATCGCCAGGACGGCCGGCTGACTCCTCCCCTCTTGTATAAAAGTTGTTTAATTGAGGGACTAGAGAAAAGAAGAATAACATACTGTACTCACTGCTTAACTGTGTTTCTAGATCACGCTCATTTCAGGTAAATTTACATGCAGTGTGAAGATACGAGCATAATAAAGATCGCTAGCATTAGCATGCTAACACAACAATGCAGCACAAGTTGTTTTGGTTTCATGCTGGTGATCAAGGGCGACATCTGCTGGATCAAAAAATCGCATTTTCTTCTTTTAATGTATAATAATTAACGGTCAACTGTTCAAAAGCCTCACTCTAATCGATGCAAAGCTCACTCTCACTGGCACGGTTTCATCTTTCTGTTTGTTTGTTTTTTTCTGTCTCTAGTCCTTAAATATCATTCCCTATAGCTGATATAGTGCTGTGTCGTTTCCCTACAGCTGTCCGAGGGCAAGAACAGAGAGGAGCAGCTCGGACAGCAGATAGCTGAACAAAAGGAGAAGACTAAGAAGGCCATGATGGGTGCCAAGGCAAAACTCAATCAGCTTATAAGTAAGATTCACTATAATACACAGACATGCTACCAAAACACAGCAAACAAAGCAACTAAGACATCCATATCTTCTAGGTTCCAATGAGCAGCAGAGTAAGGAGATGGAAGAACTGAAACAAAGTAAGGAGGAAATGGAGGTTAGAATGAATGCTCTCAAGTCTCAGTATGAAGGACGATTTCAACGGATGGACAGAGAGTTAAGGGAACTGAGAGAGACACAAGTTCACTCTGAGCCCAAAGAGGAGCTACAGGACACCAGCGGAGCCAAGGTACACGCTCATCTTACCTGCGGACATGATAAAGAATAGAAAGCACAACCAGAATCTGACTATTGTGTTTTAATCCTTTCTCTGTAGATATCAAATCTTAACACCGGTCCTCTACAAGAACATGCATGTGTCATACATTACATCTGTTTTTGATTGCTTTGTTTATTTTATTTTATTGTTTGTTTTTCCAAAAAACATTTCCACCCTCTTGAAATGTTATGACCTTTTAAGAAAGGTTTGACATTATTCTTTAATTTTTTTTAACTTTATTGTTTAACTATAACTACATTTAACTTTTTTCTAAATAATGTAACAAAAGTCTCTTAACGCCCCGTTTTCCACCGAGCAGTCCGGTTTGGGTCATTTTGGTACGGTAAACGCTGAACTTGCTTGCGTTTCCACAGCCAACCGTACTCTTACTTGTTAAGCGGTGTGTAAGCTGCGTCAGCTATGTAATTGTGTTGGGCTGCTATGATGTCTCACAGAGTAGCCAGCTGTTAATTAAGTTCAACAAAGAAGAAGAACAGGTAAACAAAATGACCTTTTAGGGTCTGATTGGTACCTTTGGAACCCTAACAGAACCATCACTGTGAATATACATGTATATATATATTATTTAATTTAAATGATCAATATACACACACTTATTTACGTAAATACTGTAATTGACATCTTAATTGACCCATTTGTCACATTTTACTTATCACTGCATTTTACTTATCATGTTACTTCAGCATCTTTTGCACTATTCACCACTGCACTGTTTCTTATTTAGTCATGTAAATATTAGTCTTTTCTTATGTTTATTGTTGATGTTTAATGTTGTACCTGTTCATAAGAGAGCACAGTTCACCCAAGTTAAATTCCTTGTGTGTGTAAGCATACCTGGACAATAAATCTGATTCTGATTCTGTGAAGGGTACCAAAAACGTAGGACGGGTCCCTTATTTTGGTACCATTCCCAACTTCTGACGGTGGAAACATCAATAAATGGGTACCTAACTGAACCGTACTGAACGGTACTGACTGGTGGAAACGGGGCTTAAAAACAAATATCTTACTGTGCTGCATGACTTACTCTCTGAGTAGCAGTGTTTTGTCTTCTCATTGCAATATAACAAACCAGTATCTTCTTTTAGGTTGGGGACCAGCCCAGATCTTCAGACCAGAGACCCATATCGTTGAAGAGTCCTGCCCAAGACAGGGGAAGGTAATGGATGAAAACAGACGCATAAAGTCAACCCCTGGAAACTCTGTCAGTCATAACCAATCAGATCACAAAAACATTAAAGTATATTAACGTAAGTAACTTTAAAATGTCTTCATGCTTTCTTTGGCAGCTCCAGCTCGTCTGACCCTCCAACAGCCAATATCCGCCCCACCCCGAGCACTCCATCTCCTAGCAACAAGCCAAGTCCCTCCCCGGGTAGTAAGGCTACACCTCGTGCAAGTATCCGGCCCATGGTTACCCCGGCAACAGTCCCTGTCCCAACACCTACCGCCACTGTCATGCCAACGACCCAGACCGACAGCCAGGAAGGTGAGAGCAAGAGAGAGAGACATCAAACTAAGAATTAGAACAAGTAGATAGATTATTATTTCATTGAATGTCAATATATTGCTGTTGGCCTTCTCTTCTTGCCTAAACACTGTTGGTAAAAAAAAAATTCATAATTGATTTGACAAATAAGTGGATTTCTATTTTTACAGAAGTCCCAACACAGTCATATTTTTGTGATATCACCAAAATGTAATTTAAGAAGCTCCGTTAGGCTTTCAGAACTTTCCTTTTTTAATGTATTTTAGTTTTTCAAGCATTTGTTCATGCTTGGTTTGCTCACATTTTCCATCCTATAGCAATTGCTCTTTTAGCTTGCAGAGACACAAATCTATAGTACATACTGGCTCTCCTTAGTCTCTTGGGGTAAATGTCCCATGATTGCATATTCTTCACAAAATACCCCATAATGACAAAGTGAAAAAATAAAAGAATAAAGAACGAATATATAACATATACATACGTATTCGCAGCATTTGCTCAATACATTTTGGAATAACGCTGTAACATAACAAAATGTGGAAACTGTCCGGGTGCGCTGTATGTATGGTTTATTGGTTTTATATGTATTTTTATGTATCTGTGGTCAGTGTATTTGTAGGCCTCATGTGTTTAGCCACGTGTTACATCATGTTATTTAACTTGTCAAGGTTACAGTGTCATTATGAATACGATCAGGTGATAGCTGTGACCTCATAATGAGGTAACCGTGGGGTTTGGTTGCATTAGGACAACAGTGAAGGTCCAGGTGTAAATTGCACAGCATGCAGCTGATGGACAGTTAGTGTTTAAATGCTGATTGTCAAGTCTTGGTTTGTGTCTCTCTACAGCGCAGATAAGTTCAGGACCCTCTGTACACTCTACTGGCTCCATTTCAGTGAACACACCTGTATCACTAACTCAGCCAACCAGCACCCAGGCCACAGCTTTTGTACAGCCCACCCAGCAGCAGGCAGCCAACCAGGATGCAGGAACCAGTATGGAGGCTGAGCTACCATCGACTTCCTCGTCTCAGATTGGAACAGGTGAGCAGAACGTTGTCCTAAACCCACCCGCTGTGGCTCAGTGGTACAGTCAGTCGTCTCTCAACCGGAAGGTTGGGGGTTTGATCCTCAGCTAACATGTCCGATGTGTCCTTGGGCAAGACCTCTAATTGCTCCCGTTGCTTCATCAGCGGGGGCACATAGCAGGGTTTGAGGTGAAGTGATGGCAGCGCCCACAAGTTGGCCGTAGAAATTGTTCTATATCCCCCCTAATATTTAAAATGTATGAAATTGTTCAATGAAGAATGTCAATCATTAATAATTCACTGTGCATTACTGTAGGGTTATCACAGTCCAGCGCAGTGTGTTTTAACAGATCATTGTCCTTATTAACATTGTTAACTTTCACATGATTGTTTTTTGGTCGTTCAATCCTAAAATGTGTCTCATGCTATTTGAATGTTTGAAGATCTTCTCTCTGAAGTGATTGAACACTTCACCATTGGACAAATTTATGGTGCAAGTTCAGAGAAGTGTTCAAAATCAAAAGAACACAAAAATATGTGACCTTTTTATGTTTCCTCAAATATCAGATTTCTCTCAACAGAAATATGTAAAACTTTTCTACATGTTACTTTTACAAACCTATGCAGCCAAGATCACAACGTTCTGATTCACTGTTGATGCCTTACTGAAAACCTGCATACCACCAACTGTTTAATCATGTTCACTGATATCCTGGTATTCTTTTTATCCTCTGATTTTTTTAAGTTGGATCAAAGCGAGAGAGAGAGGAGGAGGAGGAAGAGGAGGAGAATAGAAGACCAGAGAGTTCACACACGCATCCATTCAATAAAAGACTACGACTGAAACCAACAATGGTAAACCTTAACAAAGATGCTAAACAGACTTGAGCTTTATTTAAAGCTTTTCTAGTCTTCTGACTACTCAAAGTGCTTTTAAGGCCCTGACACACCGAGGAGATCGTTGGCCGTTGGTCCTACAGTAGTTGGACAATCGGTGAGCGGTCGTCGCTCTAGTTTTTGCGGTGTGTCCGGCTCCGTCGGCCTTTTATTTTTTTGGCCGATTCTATTTTACCAACTGAGCCCCAGCCGCACCTTTGCCCAAAATTTTCTTCAATATATAGATATAATTTAATTTAATTGCCTTTTTAATCTTAGAACCATCAGTAATTTAATTCATTTTAACTTAGATCTGTAATACATATACTTCTGTTCATGAAGGCACCCTCCCTTTTTTTGGGAAAGATGTCTAAAGCCCCTTTCAGACTGCCTTTTTTCACTAAAGTGTTGTAACTTGTGTCTGTGTACATTCATATAGATTCTGCCACGGTGTTGTAATGGTGTCCCAGTCTGTAAATTCACATTCACATTTAATGTTGCAGGAGCTCCACATAGACACACACACACACAGCGCTGCGCTCTCTCTGTGCTGACTTAGCTGAAACCCTCTCACTTCTGTTCAATATGATCAATATTAATAATATCAATATTTATTTTTGAGCATAACACTGTTCATTTAAAACCAGGATGTGTTATTGTATGCAAAGTTAGGCTCTAATGAATGACTGATTTGATGTTCTGTGGGACAGCGAGTCCATGCCTACATGCTTCCCTGAGGGAGAGAGATAGGCCAAAGGGAGAGACCCCCTGTCAAAATAATCACTCTTGAGAGCTGTGCAGGCATTTTGGACTTTTTGTCGCAGCACATCAGCTTATTGTTTTTGTTATAGGCATGTGGTTTAAAACCTTACTTGAGAGACAGTGCAGAGGTACTAGTATTTATTTCCATCTTTAAAACCAGAAACAACAACCTGACAATCACTGAGGTACAAGTTTCTTTAGCCTTCATGTTCATCATCTTGGGAAGGAAAGTAATAGGCATCGATGAAGAAATAACTTTTACAATCAGTTGGAGCTTCATGTTCACAGCTTTTCACTCTCTCTTATGATCATTGGAAACTGAATGTCTCAAAATTGCTCCCCTTGATTTTTCTTCCCCAAGCTTGACATTCTGACAGCATTCATGTCCTACTGGTTTTGGGAGAGTAGTTATAATCTGATGTGAAGCATTTGAGTAAAAGTATAAAGAACAGGTATAATGTATAATTATGGTTATAATGTAATCATTATTTATTTCAGTAGATATTTTACATATTGCTCCTTTAATGTTCAGAAGTGCAGTTGGACAAGTCTAGTAAAAGGGACTCTGCATTTAATGACTGATTTGTTGTCTGCCTGTATTTCTGCCTGTATTTCATGTATTACAATTCAAAAGTGTAACTAAGCATGGTATAATGAGGTGAATGTTTCCTGAATAAGAGGGCCAACATTACATTGTTGCTCCCAGAAGCTGCTGTACTTAGCAAACTTTGTCTTTTGTATAAGTTTGTTTTTATGTCACTGTTTTATTTATTTTTTCCCTAAAATCCGGTGTAACCCACTTACCTATTTGTGATGTAAAAAGTTGGCTGTGTCTGATACACTGGTGCGACCAATACACCAGTATAAAATGCACTTTTATATTCCAGACTTTAAAGAATGTATTTTTATGTGTTTGTCTTTTAATCCATTCATTATAACTTCACATGATTACTGCTCTTTGTTTCATTTCAGATGGAAGGAGAGCTGAGTGAAGAGGGAGAGCAACACGATTCAACTGATGACAATCAGGTTGGTTACCAATCAGTGACTTAGGAGGAAGGGGGTGGGGGGGTGGGGGGTGGTCAGACTTGAAAATCAGAGTCCTGCTGCAAGAAGTTTATGACACCACACATGGGGAAAGGTTAGGGCGGCTGTGGCTCAGTGGTAGAGTCTGTCGTCTCTCAACTAGAAGGCTGGGGGTCGATCTGGTGTCCGGTGGTGGTCTTGGGCTTTGGAATATTTAATACTGATGTTCACTTTACACAGCCACTGCCGCCATCTGTGTGTAAACGGGTAGGTGTGATCTGAGATGAGAGAAGAACACAGAGAACATGAACGCTACTTTACTGACTTTGAGGCTTATTTTGAGTCATGTTCGTCAGATACAGACAGAACACTCAGGGATTTCTCCATAATGAAGGCTGTCCACGTCTCATGCCCATGCTTGTGCTTGTGCACGAACTATACCATGCTGAAGCACACCTCATCCAAGCGTGCCAGGGATAAGGAAGTGTAATGTGATTCAGAGTGCTCACACTTATTTATTAACTAATTTAAATGATCATATACACACTTTTTAATCTAAATAGTGTAAAAACTACCTCATGTTTACTTCACTAACCACTGCACTATTATCGTATATTATCCTATTTAGCCTTGTACATATCAGTCTTTGCTTATTTGTTTATTTTTGTGTGGCCCGGGTTCGCATCCCTCCCGTGGCCTCTTTCCGCATGTCGTTCCCCACTCTCTCTCCCTGGTTTCCGACTCTATCCACTGTCCTATCTCTCTGCATTAAAGGCACGAAAGCCCAAAAATATATCTTATAAAACAAAAACAACAACACATTATTATGAAGCGTGTTCAGTTTCAGCGTCTCAGAGAGCGAGAGAGAGAGTTATGCCATTAAACTCTGGCATAACTTATTTCTCCATAATGAAGGCTGTCTGCGTTGTGTACCCACGTGCTCATGCTTGAAGTGTACCAAAGCCAAGGAAGTGTACCATGCCTGAGCACAGCACGGAGCGGTCACACTGGCCAAACGAACTTTACGTTGAAGCACGGTTGAAGCGTGCTTGGGCACTGTACGGATGGCCAGTGTGACTGTGCCCTAAGTGTCAGTTAATGGATTGCTTTTTTGTATTGCAATCCACAACAGTAAAAACATTCTTGTTGGATTGAAGCTCATCAAACCTTATCCTTCTGTACATAAATATCAGAGGTTAATTTGAATCAGTTGGAGATCTCCCAAATTCTCTACCATCCAAGGTTCCCTCTCTTCGGAGTACAGCCATAGATCATGTTTAAGATCTGAAAGAATCACATTTAGTCAAAGGTAAATTTAACATTGTAACTGTAACTTTACATATAATTATTGTTTTTTTTGTATCTGAAGCTTCATATTGGCCTCAGATTAGAAATATAGTTGAAATGGATCGAGGACTATTCACTCTGTATTTCATCACTGTTTTTGAAGGAATCTTGTAATAACTTGAAAAATATGTTAAGGCAAGCAAAATATGTTTCCTCGAGAACAGTGCTTGCCAAAGTGTGGGCCGCGACCCCCTAATGGGCCGTGTGGGTACTGCAGGTGGGCCGCGAAAAGCCCTCCACCAATTTAAAATAAAAGAAATATCACAATAATGATGATTTTCCATGAGTCAACCCTTTAAGTGATTAGTAAGGTGTGTCATGACTATTCATGGACATAATGTTGAGTAAACTTTGGTGTCTATCTACGATCATGTTGTAATGTTCAATAATTTACCCCTACTGAAAGTTATAGCTGTAGTCATAGCATTTTTTTATAATGGGCCCTGGAGTTATTTTGTTTTTCAAAGTGTGCCGCAGCAGTCTTTAGTTTGGGAAAGGCTGCTCTAGAATAAATTGGTGTGTAGCCTCTGATGAAAAGATCTATCTTCATCTACACAGACTAAAATCTGTTTTTTGAGTAGTTTCCATTGCCAGGAAAACACAAGATATTTTTTGTGAAATGTGATTGTATTGCTAAGTAATAAAAGCACCTTCTGTTGGGTAAAACATTTGATAATGGGTATATTTTTGCGATGCAGGCGCTTCCTGAACAGGGATTTCCTGGAGTCGATGAAGACACCGAGGAAGAAGTTGTGTCCCAAATGGACGCCTCTCATCAGATGTCCTCTCAGGTCGTGTCTGTCATGGTGATTGACACAGACAGTGAAAGCCATGAGAGCAGAGAAGGGGAGGAGAAGCAGGAGGAGGACGACGGGGAAGAGGAAGATGAGGAGGAGGAGGACGACGACGAGGAAGAAGTAGATGAGGTGCTGTTTTGTTTTGAAATGTCTCTAAATCAGGGGTGCCCAAACAGTCGATCGCGATCGACAGGTAGATCGCTGACTGATTCTCAGTTGATCGCGAGATGTTTTGTCAATATAAAATACAATTGTAAAATAGAAAAGTGATTTCAATTTCATCTCATTGCACTGTTTCCCACACACGATACCTGTGTTGGGAGCCCAAGTATACTTCCGACCTGTTTGTATTTCATTTTTCATTTATTCATGAATTTGCTGTGTGCATGAGAGAGCGAGCGGCGGAGATAGAGAGAGAGAGAGAGAGAGAGAGAGCGCGCGCGCAAGAGAGAGTGCAGGCATGTGCAATGACGTGCAGGTAAAACCGGGGGGGTAAATGTTTTACCAAAAAGTCATATATAGAAACTATGCTACGAGTATTAAGCGCATTTTATGAAGCTGCAGCTACTTTTCTCTGCTCCTCTCTGCTGTCATGACTGTGAGCATCGCGGGGCACGAGACACACCAACATACAACGCAAACACGCACACACACACACACACACACACACACACACACACACACACACTTGCACTGGAGCGCCAGCCACCACGCGAACCTTTTTACTTTACTTTTAGTGCTACAGCACACAGTTGATCCGTGATCTTTACGGACCGAGGCAGGAACACACGTGACCCGGTCAAACAGTCGGTTGGACTTTACTCCGTTCACTCTCACCGTGTCTGCAGCTAATTTAACAAAAGCAACATCATCTCACAGCAGCCTGCTGTAGTCTGTGAACATCTCCACACAGATTAAAGTTGTTTGTTGTAAACTAAATTAAGGGGAAAACATATGTGATATAAATACAAACGTAATATTAAAATGTAGCCTACCCTAAAATAAGAGTTTAAAAAAAAGTATGTCGATATTGCATTATTTTTTACAGAACTCTCATTTATTATTTTCTGTTTGTTGTGTGAGTATTAAATGCGTTTGTAGGCTGTTGGTAAGGCTATGGCTCACTATGTGGACTGGTAGATCTCGGCAGACTGGTAACTTTAAAAGTAGATCTTGGTTCAAAAAAGGTTGGGCACCCCTGCTCTAAATGCTTTAAGATTTGATCTTTTGCCTTTTTGAGTAAATTAACCAGATTTCTGTCTTTGGATCAGTATGTGGAAGAATATGACGATGATGAAGATGACGACGATGCTTGTGACAGCGGAATGGCGCGACAGGAGGACGCTAAGGAGGAGAGCGGGAATGCAGAAGAGGAGGAACCATCGGAAGCCCCAGAGGCTGAGACCAATACATGTGGAGCGTCTTCAGGCTCCCAGCGCCCCTCTGAGCCGTCACACAGCAGTAAGCCCCCCTGTAGTCTACGTTTGTTTTCACCGCTCCTTATGTTAAAAAAAACGCCTCATGTGACTTTTACTTTCCTGTTCCAGGTGAAGGCAGCAACAGTACAGCATCAGAGCCCGACCCTCAAAGAGAAACTTTACACCTCCCCCCAACCCCCTCCTCTCTCACACCCTGCCTGCACCACCAACGCAGGTCCCCACACTCCGTCCCCCCACGGCTCCATATTCAACCAGCCGCTCCAGAGCTGGGACCCCCACACACACAGGTACTCACACAACACACACACACAGCATGCTCCTGATGAATGGGTTATCGCTTAAGACCTTTTTAGTCGAGCTTTTAACTGAATCTCATTTTATTACATTTTGAACCTCCTGTGTTTCCTCATTTAGAATAAATGATAGTTTTTAGATTGTGGGCTAGGGGTGGGGGGGGGGAGTCATGTTGTTGCTGTTTAATGAAATGCTGATGTAAAGCACTTTGTGATACATTTGTTGTATGAAAAGTGCTATACAGATAAAGTTTGATTGATTGCTACCCATTATCCAAGATGTTTGAAGGACTTTGGTTTTATGAATATTAAAATTGTGTTTATTAGAGAGCACTTTCTGACTGTAGTGAAATGTGTTTGTAAGCAGAGACAGTCATCTCAGCTGCGCAGACCATCAGTGGGACGCCAGCTAACACCTGGAATAGGCAGTATGGTAAGAGACAGGATGTGTGTGTGTTGGTTTTGGTGTCCAAGTTGAAATGGGTGCTTATAACTTAATTCTGCACCTGTTGTGACGATGACTGTGTTTGTGTTCTAGCAACATTTCTTTGATGATGACGACAGAATGGTTCCCAGCACTCCCACTCTGGTCGTACCACACCGCACTGATGGCTTTGCAGAGGCTATACAGTAAGATCTAAGTAGTCATTCAAGTCAGCTGCTGATGTGATAGAAAATATCAGTCCTGCAGAAGAAGCAGAGCTCACACTGAAGATGTCTCTTGTTACCATGTTTAAAGATAAAGTAGTAGTAGTTCTCCACTTAAAGAAAAAAAAAAGGAAACATATTGAGCCGTTTAAACCCTCTCACGTTTCCACTTCCATCTCTTCAGTTCTCCTCAGGTCGCAGGTTTGTCGACCAGGTTCAGGTTTGGACCTCCAGAAGACCTGCTGAGTCAGACATCAGGCTCCCACTCTGACCTGGGACAGTTGGCCTCCCAAGGAGGTATGAACATCCATGAGCACATGCAGCTGAGCCAGGCGCAGATTGTTCCATTATCGTTCACTTGTTACACTAAAGAGTGTGTGTGTGTGTGTGTGTGTGTAGGTCTGGGAATGTACGAGTCTCCTCTGTTCCTGGCTGCTCATGATGAAGATGGAGGAGGAAGGAGTGTCCCCACAACACCTTTACAAGTGGCTGCACCAGGTAAGACACTCAGTCTGTAATTAATAAATTCAATGTGTATCTGTTTTTTTTTATTGAAAATGCTTCAACATGTCCCCTCTGTCTCTGTCAGTGACGGTCTTCTCAGAATCTGTGCCCTCAGACAGCGCTGACAACATGGCATCCCAGTCGGTTCCCATGGTAACTGCCACTGCCGGGATGGCTTCTGGTGGAGATGATGGAGATGAGGTCTTCATGGAGCATGAAACAGAAAGGTGAACAAAATGTAAACCCTCTCTGACACCAACAGAGCTAAAGCTGCACAAAGGGAAAACCCCTGTGGTGTACTGACACACCCGTTCCTCATATGTTCGTGTGTGTTCTTAGAAGATAACAACAAAATCATTGTTCCAGAAATGTAACTTATGTGAGGATGGAGCCTAATGTAACTGCTTGTTCTTGTTCAGTCCTGGTATTGAATCATCTCTGGAGAGCCAAACAGACATGGAGTCAACAGGACAGCAAAGTGATGATGCATCATTACCGTCTACTAGTCAAGAACCTGGTAATGTGTTTTAATGTATTGCCTTTAAAAAGTAGAATTTAAACTCTCTTTGCTGGATTTTCATCATGAACTACACCTAACATTTTCATTTCAAGCGATGCTTTGATTTCAGTTTGAAATATTAAATAAATAACCACAAAATAGTTCATCAGATATACACTCTGTCCTTAGAAAACATATCCCAGCTTCAATAGATGAGCATATTTACAGTAGAGACCTCGTCAGTGAACTATGAGGGTAAAAAACAAAAACAAATAATCGTTCATTAATCGTAATCGAGGTAAAATGTTCAATTAATGGTGGTATTGATTTGAGGTCGTATCGACCAGCGCTAACTAGCTGCACCTGAAAGCCTCTCAAAAACATGTTAGACCCTGTTTTTACACAGTTCACAAAATCAGATTAAAACTTGAATGTTTAGGGTAAATTAAATCATAAATCACTGCATTCATATAAGAAATTAACAGTTGGTCAGATAATCCAGAACAACCTTCTTCTCTTCTGTCTCCTCCCAAGAAGCTGCGTTTCTAGATTGTGAATTCTATATTTCCTTCCTCTTTTAAAAACAAGTCACTGTAATCTTACATTGTGAACATTTAAAAAAATTCAGTAAAATGATTTTTAGTGTAGTGACAAGTTTTATCAACCAACAGTCAGCCCTTCAATTGAGTATGACTTCAAGCATTCATATTCTACTTCAGTTATTCTATCATGCTGTTTCCCGGATTAATGACAACCCTCCTCACTTCTATATGTCACATAGTTGGTGCATGTACTGGATAAATATTGAAACTGCTATTTGAACAGAGGGTGAAAAATAAAGAACCCCTCTAGGCTCTATTTACAATCCATTTTAAGACGTTGAAAGAAGCTTCAAAACCTTTCTGATGTGCAAAAACAATCCTTTTAAATTCCTCGGCTCAGGGTTGCAGCCTGTTGTGGTTTTTAAATTATTCTCATATTATTCCTGTTATTGTTAGTAATACCCTGTCTTATCTCTCAATGTATCCATAGACACCATCATTGTTCCTCAGCGGCGCCTGCCTACCACTCTACCTCTGATCAGAGGGAGCAGAGGAGGAAGGTTCAGCCGCAGAGGTAAGTATCTGAACCAGTCGACTCAGTGTGCCAGTAAAGACGATGCAGGTCTACAGACCTTCATCTGATTCATAAATCCTAATCATTCAAAAGGTAATGATTAGAGTATTTAAGTGAAACAGACAGAGAGCAGCAAACACAAGGGGTGATTCATAACATGAACAGAGAGATTTAATAATCTCAGTTATTCACCATAAACACGTTTTTCTCTTTCAGGAACGATGTATCATGGAGGAAGGGGAGGGGCCATGGGCAGAGGGGGCATGAACTAATGATGATCCCCAGTCACAGCTTAGGCTTCTCATTTCATAAGATTATAAAATGTGTTGCTTATTTCCTTAATTTTTATACGTAGTGTTGAGACTTTCAAAATAACAGTTTCTGATTAGTTGAAGACAATAATCCTGCTATGTGAGGGGTTATAAACCCTTTGTGTTTGCAATGCTCACATATCTCATGTTATAATCATGTTTTCTTTTTCTGTGTATTAGATCTGTCCTGGTTTTACTATTGACAGTTTGTTCACTTCCTGTGTCTTTGAACTGGTCGTACACTTGTTTTATTAATAAAGTTACACAATCTGTAATAGGGATATTTTGTTTTGTTTTTCTAAGTAGATTGATTGATATGATGAGTATCAACACATCCCCTCCCTGTTATCAATACCAGCATGTCCATGTTTGGGTGAATAAAGTGCCTAAAAGTGGCAGCAGTCATTTAGGAAACACTCGACACACTATGCTACGTGTACAACCCGGGCTGCATCTGAATTGCCAAGTACATACTCAATCTTTCAGTATGCAGTAGGCAGTATGCAGTACGTACTATCCATGCTGTATACTGTTAGTACCTACTATTCAGTATGCACACACAGTAGGCAGATATTTGTCCCTACTTAGTCTGATTCATTCAGTAAGGAAGTGACGTCATTTACGTTTCCTGAACCGGCCGCATCCACCCGTTTTTTTTGTTTTGTTTTGTTTAGCTTTATTCAAGAAGAGTAATGCTCATATACACTCAGGTAAACAAAAAAGCCAATATCATAATGTAAATCAAGTAAAAGACAGATTAAATAACTAAATAACATACAGTACATAAAGGAAAGTACAGATGAAAGACAGTAATATACAGAATATAAAATAAACCAATAAAGACACATTTAAATAGTGACATCATTATTTAAATAGAGGGAGAAAGGTTTTATAATAATGCAGACATTTGTTTTATTTTCTGTTGTTAATTAAAAGTAGTGATTTCAGTCGGGACTTTAACTCTAGATTAAAAATTGATTCAATTAATCCACGCTCGTTTGTTTTGATTTGGAGGCGGACGTGACGTGACGATTTACGTTTAATTTCGCACAGCATTGTGGGTAAAATACAATTCATTTCCTGAAAGCACACATCCGATCCATACTGCATGAAACCAGGAAGTTAGTATCCATACTGAAATGTTCAGTATACTGAGGTGGACACAAAAAATGCATACTGAATGACCACGAAAGTTCAGTATACTGAAACTCCATACTGAATAGTACGCACTGCATACTGAACTGTGGATATTCGGAAAGGGCCATGGTGTTCCTTTTTTTTAGTGTGGCTACTACAGTATCACCTTTTCCATTAACTGAAGCCAAACATTCACTGGAAACTATTTAATAAATCTGTTTGATAAGGCTCCTAATAAACATAAAACACAACATTTTTATTAAATTCTATCATATAAGAAAATACCTCAAATAACAGATTTGTTTCACTCCTCCCAGTTAAAATGGTTACCACTGGGGTTTTAAAGGCTGTTAGGACTTGGTTCCTACTTTATTTTATTTTTTTCATAAGAAAAAGTAACATAGCCGTGGGACACTGTGTTAAGTTGTGATTGGTCAGTTTATTGATCAGGAAATGACCTAAGCAGACACCTTGGAATATGGTATTTTAACAAATTCTATGTTTTAAGCACCTTAAATGGAACATATAGCTGCTTTTCTTTAATTAATAATGAAGAACTTCTACATTATTTGTAGTTTTTAGAATGTTTGTTGGACAAATATATCACCTTGGGCTCTGGGAAAATTGTTTAGATTTTTGGCTACTTTTTCTTTAAAAAATGTTTGTGGAAAATAAATGAATTACAAAAACATATTTGTTAGCTTAAAGATTGAATAATAACACTGCCAACAATAGAAAATAGTTATTCATGAAAGAGGTTTTTATTTATAAGAAAAACTCTTTACAGCTGAAAGATTTTCAATGTTATTGCAGGATGAAGGGTGAAGCAGTTTACATTTGTGATATTTGAGTTTAAATGCAGAAAGTATCAGGAGTTGTTCTTTTCTCCTCTTCAGGGTGTTCCTATGGGCACTGCAGCCAAACTTTGATGGAGTTGGTCGGTTGGGGAGGATTTCTATTCTGAGCAGCCGTGTTGGGTGCCGCAAGAGCAGGGCTGGAAAGGGGTAGAGGTGCAAAGGCTGAGTCTGGGTCAGGTTTAGCCAGAGCTGGCAGGTTACCAGAAATCTTGATGTTGAAGAAAAGAGCTGTAGAGAGAGACAAGGAACACAATTCAGCTTCACTTTCAAAGAACGTGGAGAAGAAACATAAAACAGTTAAAGGCTTTATATGTGATTTTTCACACTTAAATGTAATATAAATCAAGTATATCCTCTGAAAATAACTCTGAGTCATGACTGTCTACAATGGGTGTAACACCCGAGTCCCACTGTCTGTGATCAGAGTTTTCAGAGTCCTATCTTCACTTTGTTTACATCGTTAGGACGGCCGGCTGACTCCTCCCCTCGTGTATAAAAGTTGTTTAATTGAGGGACTAGAGAAAAGAAGAATAACATACTGTACTCACTGCTTAACTGTGTTTCTAGATCACGCTCATTTCAGGTAAATTTACATGCAGTGTGAAGATACCAGCATAATAAAGATCACTAGCATTAGCATGCTAACACAACAATGCAGCGCGAGTTGTTTTGGTTTCAAAAAGTCGCATATAAAGACTTTAAAATGGAGAAATGTTAATCCTTTTCTCTCAGTGAACATTGAGTTCATCATTGATTTTTGATGACAATGAAGGAATGGTTCTTACATCCAGAGAAGACGTAGTGCTGGTATGGATCACTTCTCCGAGGACTGGGTATAGACAGAGCAGAAGTGACCGGGATGGGGAATCCCTTCAGAGAGGATTTGATTTTGATCTCTTTACTAAGAAGAACTTCTGGATGAGAGAAATAAATAACAGCATTTAAAATCTCCCACATTTAGTTAGTTGGAAACAAATTCTATAGCTATTTGAACTGTTATTACTCTCTAATGTTTAATGTAATATCAACATTTGTTACAAACATTTTACTTTAAATTGGATATGAATTGAAAACTGAAATGCTTGATAGTGATTTGTCATTTGTTGAGCAAGCTGCTGAGACGGGTTACTCACCAGCCTGGAGAGAGAAACGACTCTGTCTGTTGCCGCAGGAGGGAGTGCTGCCTGATGGGAAGGTAAACCTCTGAATGACGTCACCTAGTGGACAAAAAGGGTATAGCTCTCATTTGACATTTCAATAAAATCGAAAAAGCTTAGCGATGCTCACATTCAGGGTGCTCACTAACACGAGAAGCAGCTCTGATTGGAGATTGAGTTTTAACTTTTGGGTGTAGTATTTAACTCAGGTTCCACCTATACCTTTCAATAAAGCCTCTTACCCACCTGATACTCGAGATAAGGTTAAACAATTCCACCCAACTGCATTTGGGTCATGAGACCATTTCAAACTCTTTCAGTTTATTTTCAGTCTTGTGGAATTACAAACCGAGAACACAATCAGAACTGAGAAGGCTGTAAAAGAAAACAACAAGATCCTGATTTTATTTCGAATCCTACTAAAGGCTTCACACTTTTCTTTCAGATAAAGATTGTAGTTAGGGCTTACTCAGGCCTCAGACTGCTGCTGGGAGACCTGAACAAGGTGCACCCCCGTATTCATTCATGTTATAAACATCATGTCACTAAATACTAAATCTTCTTGTCCCATTAGTGTTACTAACCCTGAATCTGGATGATTCTGCAGACAGCCTGCTGCCATGGCCCTGCCTGACTCCAACTTCTACAACTATTACTCTCAGTCTTAAGTTGCCCCACCTTCACTTTCTCATCGGATAAGGGATGTACTTATCAACCTGAAACTTGAGAAAATCAACCTGACATTCTTTGGCAAACCCTCCACACATGTACAGGATTAAATAGTGAATTTGCTTTGCCTTGACCCTCGACACATTCTATCTTCTGACCTGGTCGTGCTGCTTCTGGCTTTTTATTTATTATTTTATTTTTATTCCACCTTACCTATACATCAGAATATTATTATTAATACTTAAGTGTGTATATTTATGTTTATTTTATTTATTTTTCACCAAGTGTCTCAACAACTAGTCTTTCATCTTCGCCGTCAACAGAATATGGCGAGGTAGTGAGAGTCTTTAGACGTGAATGACAGCAAGGGGGGGGTGGGATCTGTTTGTATTAATGTGTGTAATAATTCAATAAAAATAACTTTGAAGAGTTACTATTATACCTGTCAACGTGCTGCAAAAACAGCTACACGATGACAACGGTCATTATCAGCCCAAGGTGCCCCTGAGCAAGGCATCGAACCCCCAACCGCTCCCTGTGTAGCAGCCCCACTCTGACATCTCTCCACTAATGCATGTCCACAGGTAAGTATTTCAAAATCAAAAAAAAGAAGTTTCTTGCCAAATGTTGCAAGTGCTTGCTCATGTTGGACTTTGTAAAAATATACTGAAACAACAGTCTAGTGATATTAGTCTAGTGATTTGGTACTCTACAAATACAGATTGATTGATTGATCTCTACACTGTTCTTTTGGCCAGTAGTCACCTCTTGAGCTCTTGAGATTTGGAATCACGTATCTGAATCCCTCGTAGCACCTCTGTTTCTCTGTTTAACAGTCATTTTAAATTACCTTTCTTAAAGAAGAACACAGTCTCAGATCTGCTCCTGGTGGCAGGCGCTGCCAGTGCAGCACTGATGCTTCCTGTCAGACCTGGGAACTCAGAGGCCAGAGGTTTAGGGAAGCCCGGCTCCATCACCATGTTTTCATCCAGAAGCCAGTACTGGTCTCCCTGGAGCAATGATAGGAATAATGATAAGGGAAAGTACTCACTGCAATATATACTGTAGCGGTCGTTTAGAAGTGAGTTTTTATTGTGAAAACAAACAGGAATTTCCCTTATATAGAAAGATATCTCTCTCTCTGCAGCTTGTGACAGAGAAATGGTCAAATATTCGTTGGATGACAAACAATGGAAGAACTTAAATTCAACATATTGAGATTTTAAAATGAAAGGAAAAAATATATTTAGATTACACAAACGTGCAGAATCAATCAATGTTAGGTGGATAACTTGACTCATTTTCCTGAATGTGCTAAAACGTTACAAACGCTCTATGTGCTCCTGTAACAAATTGTTTTGTAGAATTAGAATAGAATGGGTGTGTTTGGATATTTTCTACTGTACTTGTGGAGGTATATATATACATGTGTGTATACGTATATATTTGTTGTTATTCTATATATGTATATTTTTTATATTTCAGGCTTGGCACAGTACATTTCGTTGTACTCTTGTGCAATGACAATAAAGTCTATTCTAATTCAATTTTTTAATAATAGCTTGGATTTATATAGCGCCTTTCAAGAAACCCAAGGACACTTTACAGTAAAAAGGGGGGCACTAGGAGACAACAAAAAATAAATAAGAAAAAACAAGTTAAATATTTAGTTTTGTCAACAGTTAGCCATAAGAAGGTTCAGGTTTAGTACTGAAGGTAACGTTGTGGTTGTGTTGACAGCAGCAGTTGTACCTTGATGATGTAGGTGTTTCCCTTACAGTTGCAGCGTGTGAAGATGGTATCGATGGGAGACGGGACGCCTAAATTATCCAGGATATTCTTTGGACGACCAACTGAGCGACTGACAGGATTCACTGACCAGAACAGCTCACCTGCAAACGCAAAGGAGAGCTTCAACAGAACTCCTGAAGCCCTCTTTAGAATCCCATAACTGCAAAAACCCCTCTGTTGTTGAAAACTTATGATTAACTGCATAGTTTCTTTCCTGGCATTGGGTTAGACATTACTTACACTAGAAACTTGAAATAATAATGTGCAACAAGAACAAAAAAAAAACATCACAAATTCTAACCTTTAAATATCAGCATGGTCCCATTGCTGAGCACCGTCAGTCCATTGATGGGAGAGTCACTGCAGAGGTTCTGATCAGCAAATACTCCTTTACACAAACACAGTTTATTGTTCACTGAAGGTGTTTAAACAGTTATCCAGAAGCTTATTCACGTATTAGTAATGGGTTCATTGATCAAAGCAACACTTTGACTGACTACTACTTTTTTACCCATATGTGCTTTATGAATCCCATACTTCAAGAATTTGAAAGCCATTTACATTTATTTTTTACAATGTGGGAATTCTGTGCACTTGTCAATAACTAAAACAAAGAAAAGGACATGTGTACATGTAAAGATATGTAAATCTACAGTCTTACCTGTCACTGGTCCCTCAGAGTCTTCCTTCACTAAAGACTGAACAAAGGCCTGCGCTACGTCCTGCAGGGTGCTGGGTCTGGGGTCTGCAGGGCCTGCAGGGTCACTGTAATCTTGGAACAAAACACACTCCGTTTCATCATTATCAGAATCAGAATCGGGGTTTATTGCCAAGTACTTTTACACATACAAGGAATTTGACTTGGTGTATTGGTGCTAAACAATTAATAAGGAAATAAAGCAGAACTAGCAACAACTTAAATAATACAGTATAAGAAGATATTACAATATATAAAATAGAATTTAAAAATGTAAAATATAAAAAATTAAAAACACAAAATGTACAAAAGGTGCAATGTAGGAGCTGTGCAGTGGTGATGTCATAATACATGTAATTTATCTTTTTCAAAATCTAGGTGCACCTACATATCTAGAAAATCCATTATTATGTTTTATGTATTATTGTATTTAAAAAAAAGTTGTATTTGAAATGAAAGCAGTCATTTTTTAATGTTTGATTTACCTTGACTTGGTGCAGATGGAGCGACTTCCCCAGGTTGTATCAACAGATGGACGTTCAGTGTACCTCCATCAGCTCCTGAAGCAGAGGGACGGACAGGAGTGTTGCTGCCCTGAGACTGAGCGTTGTAGCTTGGCAGAGATGAGCCTGATGCTGGTGATTCTGGAGCTCTACCATGAAAGGTAGGGATGTTTCTCACACCTGTCGGAGAACAATGTTGTTTGAATCATCTTTGGAGTGAAAAATAGTGATTTAAAAATAAAATAAAAATATTATCACAAACCATGTTGAAGTGGAATGGATGGATTAGCGGGAGCGGTCGGGCCAGAGGAGCTAGCAGTGGATGGCTTAATGACACCTGATGTCCTTGAACATGGAGCCCCAGGGTACTGTGAGCAGTGACTGCGTGCTAAACAAAGAAATATGTTTAAAACAACAATATAAGCATTTATCAGCCCATCAAGGATTCACTTTAGTATTGTGTTCTCAGTGGTTAAAGACTGGATCAAATTAAAAATATAAAATAAATAGTTTGATTAAGTATTCAATATTGAAATGACACATTTGTCAGTGAGTAAAATACCTGAGAAGGCGACACTGTGTGAATGATGAAAACTTCAAAGACACTTAGTTCCTGAGTCCAAAACTAATTTCCCTAGTGGGACAATAAAGTGTATTTTATGATTTCATAACTCTGACCTACCCAATTTGACACGGTCTTAAAGTATCTCTGTGACATATTTTTTTTTTATAAAAGTCTATAAATGCCCTGTGAGGAGTCTTTATGTGGTTGTGAAACAGGATGAAGTTAATAGTGATACCTCTTTATGATCTTTAAAAAAACAAACAAGGCCATCAGCATGAAGATGGTCTTTTTCTACACAGTTCATTTAAATGTCAAAAACATTTAATGTAAACACACTATACAGCTTTTTGTAATAATCCACACTGAGTAAAATGATAAACTGTGTTGTGCCCTCTGTGAAGGACATTTCATATTGTTTGAGTTAAGTTTTGTTTTTACACTGCCCCCTCCTGGTTGTTAAAGTGAACTGAGTAGTATGAGCATGTGAGACCTTTAAGTGCTGTGCAGAGTGCAGACAGCAGGTTCTTCACCTCCTGCAGAATGATTTTCCACTTTGTTGCCATGGGCACTAATTGTCCATAAGTATTTATTATTTTGTGTTCTTTGGTGTACAGAGGCAGAATGTACGTTTTTAAGTTGTTTCTTTTTAGGCGATTGGATTTTAATAAATTGATAGTTAGCAGAGCAGTAAGCTAGCAGCATGACTAAGCATGTTCGGTTATGTAATTGTTTCTTGTGCCCTATTTTCTGTTTATTAGTTTCTAATGTACTTTTGCAATTTGTGCTTTATTACAGTTTTACAAGAAAGAAAGAAAGTAAATAAGAACGGAAATACTGTGTTCTTCAATAAATAACGAGAAAAGTTACGCCTTGTCATTTTTTGGAGGACTTACACTTGTTAGCTAACTGTCTAGCTCTGAAGATAAGCAACTCATTGCAAGGACAGTATAAACTGTCTAAAGAAAGGTGTATTTATATTAATCAGAAAACACCTCTGTGATCAACACAAAGAAAAGAGGAGCCCGTATCCGACACAGACCAAAAGTTATGAACATTATCATGTTAAAATACAATGTTGCCCACTTTAAAGCCTTGAAGTTGATATTTGGATATAATTCAACTAACCTGTGTACCATTCCTCACTCTCACTGTTGGAGCTTTTCTTGCCTCTCTTTGATTTGCGTTTCTCTGAGAAGGTGGAAAAAAAAACAAGAACAAGAAATAAATACAAGTATGTGAAAATGAACAGAGAGAGATGTATTTTAACTTAATTTATTTTACTTTTTGATTATATCTGAAGGACTTTGTGACATTGTTTAAAAATGTTCTGATTGAGTTTATTCAAAAATGATTTGTAATCGTTATTTATTACTTAAAAAGCAAATGAGACAAATTAATCTATTTTCAGTGTTCCTCTCAAAACTTGGTAAATTAGCATACATCCTTCCAATCGGAAGGTTTGATTACACATCAATCAATCAATCATTATGTGTATAGCCTCAATTCATTACAAGTGTCAAGAGCAGATAAAAGCGACTTGTTTAAAATAAAAGGGATGGGGGGGAAAAGGCTACATTTTGGTTTGGACAGAAATGTTCCAACACAGTGAAGTAAAAGCTCCACCGGTAGTGAAGGAAAGGGGACTTTTACCTGAAACTGCAGACCTCAGAGCCTGGACGGTCCTCGGGTGTGAATATGCCACATTTGTATCTGTGGAGAGCAGAACAGGAATTTTACTTAGTGTCTGAAAACTGTCAACTTTTTAAATCAGGATAACTTTTCTATTTAAGACATTCTCTTCCTGAAGTGCTAGAAGATGTATTTATTATTTATCCACTTAATGGCTTTATATGTGATTTTTTGATCCAGCAGATGTCGCCCTTGAGCACCAGCATGAAACCAAAACAACTCGCGCTGCATTGTTGTGTTAGCATGCTAATGCTAGTGATCTTTATTATGCTCGTATCTTCACACTGCATGTAAATTTACCTGAAATGAGCGTGATCTAGAAACACAGATAAGCAGTGAGTACAGTATGTTATTCTTCTTTTCTCTAGTCCCTCAATTAAACTACTTTTATACGTGAGGGGAGGAGTCAACCGGCCGTCTGGGCAATGTAAACAAAGTGAAGATAGGACTCTGAAAACTCTGAAAACATCACAGACAGTGGGACTCGGGTGTTACACCCATTGTAGACAGTCATGACTCAGAGTTATTTTCAGAGGATATACTTGATTTCTATTACATTTAAGTGTGAAAAATCACATAGAAAGACTTTAATACTGATGGATGAATACCTCTGCCATTATTGTGTGACTGTGACATGACGTGTAAAATGTGCTCTCAGATCACTAGAACAGCACTATATAAAGCTCAAGAACATTTATCATTGTTGTCATGAGGAATATGAGGAGAACTCACAGGCCAATAATCTGTCAGTTTGTTGCATGTCTGTCAGTGTGGTGTCTGAAATAGTAAACTATAGTGTATTTTATACTGTATCTGCTTACCACAGTATCCCTGGTAGTCATGACAACAGGTGTTGTAGTGGACGCACTCTGGGTCACACTCACACAGCTGACCGCGCCTGAACGCCTCGCCACAGCGACCCCTACAGGACTGACCTGAGAACAACAGCCAGGCAAACGGAGCATTGTCATCATAGCATTATTATTGCTTTTAACCTTGAGTGGTATTTTTCCTTTGCAAGACCCTGCCCACCTTCTTTTCTCTAGCCCCGCCCCCTGACAACGGGGTCCACCTGATGCTGGTATTATTTCTCCTTCAAACACCAAGACTCACCAAGGAACGGGCAAAATAACCTGATCACAGTAAAAACCATCACTTCAGCCCCTGCTGTTGAATAATCAGCTCAGCCCCCCCACCCCATAGAAAAACAGTTTCTGTATTTACCTCGTTTTAAAAGTCTTATTTTTAAGATGACTTCTCATTTTACTCAGGATTTTTTTAGGTCTTTTATCAGTCAGTCTCGGTGCTTACTTCTTACTTCTTCTTACTTTTTTTTTTTTTTACATGACCCAACATTTGAAGCTCCGTAGTCATGACAAAGGGAACACACCCGATCTTGTGATCTCACATGGTTTCTGTGTGGATTATGTGAAAATAGCATCTTTGACCACAAAGCTTCACTCCTCTCTCCTGACCCAAACACCCTACCACTGATGCACTGATGCCAAGCTTTTGTCAAGCTTTTACGACTTTCAACAGATGTCATGTTAAGAGTAAAAACAGCTCCACCTTGGACTCTTCAGTATCACACTTATCTTTTAGGTTCGATAACCGAGTCAGATACAAAACGCTTTCTCTCTGCTGTGACTGAATCAGGAAATAAAGATTTACAGAGCGTAAGAGGGAAAAGTAAAAACAGCTGCTCATGAACTCTTTATATGAAGTACAAAATCAAAAAAAAGGAACAAACACTTATTTTTCACAGCTTCTTACTGATCATGGTCATAAACCCAGAATCCTGTTTAAATCAGTAAAATCTGTGATTGGTCTAGCCCGATGTTGTGTCCTCAACAGAGAAATGTGGACCACTTCTCATCCACCTCACTCACTAAATGAAAGAGATTTGTCCAAATGTGAACACTGTTAAGGTAGCCTTTTGACTCGTGCTCTCCCTCATCACTAAATCTCTCTGGCAGCTCGAAGAACGCACTGTTTATAAAACATTCATCTGCCTTTCAGTCTGCAATCCTACTCGTTTTTAAAAAAGCGTAACTATTAATAACTGCTCTCTGTCGTCTGGGGTTTTAAAAATCCAACACTTTACACATTTTTAAAGAAACCCTCTCTTGATCCCGATGCTTTCTGTAAACTCCAAGCTCCCGTTTCATCTAAGTTATTAGAAACAAAAAAGAACTCAACTGATTTATTTTATGAATAAATCTCAGTCTGGGTACTGCTCCAGCACTAAGACAACCCTGGTCAAGGTTTCCAATGATTTACTGTTTGCATCTGATTCTGTGCTGTACTCCATTTCTATTACAGTGGACCACAATGTGTTGATCAGCTGTTTGAGGAACACTAAACTCTGTATGTTAAACAGGTCTTCTATAATGTGTAGAGATGCCCTTTCCTTCTGTGCTCCTTTTGGGGTCTTACAGGGGTGTACTTTAGGCCCCCTCTCATTTACTGTTTACATGCTAACCCTAGGTGAAAACATGTTACATTGAAGACACACAAGTCTATGCCCGCTTTAAACTCAGCTACACTAGACAATCTGAAGTCTTTGTTATTACCCCATCTGGATCTTGTACTAGCGTCATTAATAATCTCTCATTCAGTCTGAGTGCTCTATTTTATAATGTTTGCAAAGAGCAACCCATGAGGTCCTTTCACAGCTTTCTTTTGAAAGCCAGATGAACAGAGTAATACAACTCATTGCTTTCTCCTGCCGACTTAAAAAAGTTCATTCATTATTTTTCACCCAGGCTCGACTACTGAAATGAACTTCATTCTGTCACCAGCAAGCAGAACTAGCAAAGACTACAATTCAAATAAAACCAAACAGCTTATAAAACATGGCAAGAGAAGTGACACATGTCACACCTGTCCTTACTTCAGGAAATGATTTTAAGATCTTATTGTTTGTTTTTAAAGCCTTAAAAGGCCAGACCAGCTTGACTGCTCCTCTAGCACCCAACTAGTATTTCATAAAACTCTGCTGGTCATAAGACGCGAGCATTGCAGTTCGTGCCTGATGGCCGTGGAACTCCCTATCTGAAGATCTCACTATTCTCTTTTTAATCACTATAGGAGTCACTTTTTTCTACTGCCTTTTTCCTTTTTGAAGATGTTATTGTTCTTCTTTACCAGATTTCCTATGGTGTATGGTTTTTTTTTGTCTTATTTATTGGTGGATTCTGTTTTATGTTATTATTATTGTAGAGAGATGGTCAAGGAAAGAAAAGAGTAGTCAAAATGAGGCTAAAAGATCTTTAAAAAACATACTATTTGTCTTTGGCTCCTTTTATGACATGAGGAAGGAAGGATTCATATTTACACTTACACATTAATAATAAAAAATACATAATTGCATAATTAAATTTCACACTCTTATGGAATATTTGTATTGAATGCAATCTTTTTTTGTAATGTTATAAGTAACAGCTATTTCTAATAACCATGAATAGAACATTGTTTTTATCCATCGGTAAAACTCTTCTAGTGACGGTCTTACCGGTGGAGCAAGTCGCCTCAAAGTCGTGGCAGCACTCATTATGTTGGAGGCAGCTGAAGTCACAGGTACACTGCTGGCCTCTGGTGAAGCTCTCACCACAGCGACCCACACAGCTGTCTAAAAAACACAGTGAAGGTGTTTGAACAAGCAAGAAGTGGGCTGTGGATGTCTAACAATGATCAATCAAACACACACCTTTAGACAAGGTATACATGCATCTCTGAATATCAAATATTTATTATAAGATATCGCAAACATGATCTGACAATAGATGATGATGTCACAACCTTATTGAGAGATAATGTCGTTTTAAATAAGGCAGAGGCTCACTAAAATATGGGACAAGATTAGTTTGTTAGTCAGTAATCCAGGCATTTATAATTATTATATTGCTATGAGTGAGCTAAATCAGAACGGCATTAAAGGGTATTTAAAATACAATGTGTGTATTTCCAATACTAGAAACATGAAGTAGAATAAAGTTAAGGACATGTGTCTTACCTGGTCCAGTAGCAGCCGTATAGGTCATACCAAAGCCAAGCAACAGAAGCCACAGGAACATCTTCATGATCAAGACTTTGCTCGTGTAGAATCAGAAACAGAATCAGTCACCTTCTCAGTGTGTTCCCTCTCTAGTCTACTTTCAATCAGTCAGTCATCTGGTCTTTTATATCAGAGAAAAAGGCAGCAAGACAGAATACCTTTAATTACTCATACAAACACTCTCGTAACACACCTACCACTTCAGTGAAACTGCCCAGATGTTTTTAAACTTCCTACACAGCAACTCCCACACACACAGTTTAGAGACAGGGAGTGTAATGCAACTCATTTATAATACTTACATAGTGACAGTAACTTCATCAACATTTTTTTTTCTTTGTTAAACAACATTTTATTACTGGCTTCGCATTTTTTATGTTTATAATGTTTTTCCAATTTTTATCACTATAAGATAAGATAATCCTTTATTTATCCCTCAACGGGGAAATTTACAGTGTTACAGCAGCAAAGAGCAAAGATTGCAAACAAAAAAGTGAACACAGTACACAGTTTAAATAAAAAAAGAAAAATTAAAAATGTACAAAAAATAGATAGATACCAGAATATAGTTTTTTTTTTTTAATAGATCAGCTCATCCATTCTCATCCATTTAATAAAGCATCTTTTTTTATTTATTTTTTGGGGGCTTTTTGTGCCTTTAATGGAGAGACAGGACAGTGGAAATCAGGGAGAGAGAGAGAGAGTGGGGATTGACATGCAGGAGAGGAGCCACAGGCCAGATTTGAACCTGGGCCGCCCGCTTCGAGGACCATAGCCTCCATACATGGGCTACACGCATTAACCACTGCGCCAGCTGCACCACCAGCGCCCCATCTTTTTATTTATTTTTATTTAACCTTTATTTAATCAGGAAAAAGTCTCATGGAGATTAAAAATCTATTTTACAAGAGCATCCTGGCCAAGACAGGCAGCAGCACAATTACAGGGTTTCAGACATAAAACACATAAATACAGGAATCACAAAAAGAACCATTCATCAGAATCTGTCATAAGTCATCAGCAACAAAGCGATCAAAAAGGGCAATACGAGTTAGCTAAAAACATCTACAGTCAGATATTTCTGCCTCCAGATCATTAAGAAGACCTTTAAAAACATTCAAGGAAACCAGCTCCCCAAGATTTAAAGTATCTTGCAACTGATTCCAAGACAAGGGAGCAGCATACATCTTTAAACAATTCATCAACATAAATAAATTATTACATTTAAGAACTTTATTATGAAGAGAATAGTTAATACCGATGAAATAGCAGCCTCTGCCATCAGTGTGTGAATGTGGTGTGAATGGGTCGATGTGACACATGGTGTAAAGCAGCTTCAGTATTGTAGAAGACAAGTCCACTTACCATGTATAACTACTTTGAGGTCGACATGGAAGATGTTAATAAAAGGGATGAGGTGTTTGAGTCATTGAAAACTGATGTCATGTGGTTTGAACATTTTGTGATGTTCAATTGTTCAGGCCATAAAAAGTGTCTACAGGAATAAATAAAAAAAGTAATAAAGGAATAAATGAGGGCCAGTCTGGTGAGGCATTTAATGTGGGTTGATGTGGAAAGACTTTTTTTTTAACATTATGCCTCACAAAGATCAGGACACATAAGAGACTAATCCAGAAAAATGGTTTTCTAACACGATTGAAGTATCTTGTATTTTAAATGAACAAAAGTTTTGTACACACAAACTGACAAAAATATACCAACACATGCATGAAAAATGTTTTATAATGTCTTGGTCAAGGCAGCATTCTTTGGTCTGCTGTTTCCATAAAGACAACTGCAATGAAGAACAGAAAATTACATCTCTTATCCAACCAAAAATCACAACCACACACATCTTACAACCACATCTCATCATATCCATCCACAGAACAAAGCTTGATGCATTTAGTTAGGGGTGGCTGTGGCTCAGTTGAGAGTCGTCGTCGTCTCTCAACTGGAAGGTCAGGGGTTCGATCCCCAGCTCTTGCAGCTACATGTTCGCTGTATCCATGAATGGGATTAGTTACTTCTGATGGTCACTTTTAAATAGCAGCCTCTACCATCAGTGTGTGAATGTGTTGGTGTGACCTGCGGTGTAAAAGCGCTTTGAGTAGTTAGAAGACAGTCAGCAAACAGAAAAGATCTGGCATGGCATCTGTGTTTAAGCTCTGCACAATAGAAAATGAAAAGGCAACAGACTTTGAAAACTAAAGGTAGAAAAGTTAAATCAGGTTCTGACTGCAGCAATCCAGTTCACCTTCATTTGATGTTTAAAGTGAGTTAAAACCGCTATATTAGAAAGAAAATACAGAGTTATGCTGCTATGGAGGCCAGTTTAATGCAGAATCTAACAGACAATTAAAAAGAAGAAAAATGTGTGTTTAAGTCTTTAAAATTATTTCAAAATATTGATATCTTCAATATGTTTCCCTGTCAGCATAGTGAACGATCATTATAGTGGATAAAACACCTTAAGAATGTGACAAATCCCCTCCACCATTTTCAATATCTGTGTTCACTGAAAGCAACACATATACATCTGTTTGCATAACTGCTGGTTGGACCCAACTCTGGATCACTCTTTCTGCAAACCTGGAGTAAGGAGTAGGTCAGCCTCATGTATTCAGTCCTTCCTGGAATTTGGATTTATGGAGGTTCCTCCACCCATAACGCAAGACAGAACATCTTCTTTTCTAACATCCATCACACATACTCCAGAAAAGATTACCGTACTGTATATCTTTTTTGACAACAGATTAATTCCCCAAGTCTTTTCCTGTACAGACCACAGAGCATTGACATATCGGATCATGCCCCTGTTGTGATGTCATGGCTACTTCCAAGTGCTCCGCAGCCCACGAGGCACTGCATGGTGTTTCAACTCAACACTTCTTTCCGATAATACATTTGTCAAGTATATAGAAGACCAAATGGCCTCTTCTCTTGAAATTAACAATACTACAGATGTCTCTGCTCTAGAATACAGACAGACAGTGGAGATGTCACCATAGACTCGGGCCAACTTAGGAAACACCCTTTGCTGGTAACCCAGGGTTACTAGTGCTGTTATCCTCTCACTTTTATTATTTAAATATTGAAAATAGTGTAATAAATTGATGTAAGTTGTAACAAAATAGTGATCATTAATAAGACAATTAAACTAAAATTATATAATCCGATTCGTTTAATGGGTAATTACCACACAACACCAAATCAGTACATTAAATTGACTTTTTTTTTTGCCAAATACTGAAGCTACGTCTGCATATTTCTCATGAAGCACAAGAATCCAACTGACTGCAGTTTCTGCACAGACTGCTGAAATTATGTCTCACTGTTTAAGTTTCACAGTTGAACTGTGAGTATCTGTAACTTAAGAAATCAACAGGAGACACTGTGGTGCAGTGCGTGGCAAAATCATTATATTCATTGTTGGGGTTGTATCAAGTCAACTTTGGTTATATTCTTTAATAATTATACTTAATTATTAATAATATAAATAAAATATCATTAAACTATGTTTAATCTCGTTTTGGGGCACCAACCTGTAATCAGGTAAATATAACCAAAATATCACTCAAATCAGTCTCAAATTAGTTATTTAATTACTAATATTATTAATAATGAATAACTATATTTAATAAATTGAAGGCGTGAAATCCGTACACAAAGCCTTCGCACCCAGTTTATATCACAATGTAAATACACCAGTAACCACAAACAACTGCTCTCTTAAATTATAACAGAATTTATTTAAACAAAGCAACATCAATCCAAAATCAATGAACTTAATTAAACAAATAACTATTATAAACTAATCTAAGCAACAAACATTATCAAGCAAAGGCTTGTGGAAGGGGTGTGAATGTAGGTGTGTGTGTGTGTGTGTGTGTGTGTGTGAGAGAGAGAGAGAGAGAGAGGGAAGAAGAAAGGGGGAGATGGCTTCGTACCCTCGTGGTCGTTCACGATGGCGCAAACCTAACAAAGACCTGGGTGCGTGCGCGTGTGGATGAAAGGGAGAGAGAAGGGGGGGAAGATTACTTCGTCCCACGTGGTCGCCCTTCGATGGCACACACCTAACAAAGGCCTAAATGTGGCCTTAAGGTCTAAAAGAGACTGAGTTCGGCCCTACACAGTCTGTGTCTCTGAGGCGTCTGGATAGCCGCGAGTGTATAGATCTCTGTGCGTAATGGCGCGGTGGTGGAGTTGGTCTCCAGATGTACGTTTACACAGGAATATGTGTGTATGTGTGTGCGTAGAAGGGGAAATAAAAGAGAATAAAGAGAAATGCGTGCCTGAAGAGGCCGGATCACAGTCCGACTCCCGCGCCACAACTCGGAGTAATTCCCTTCATTCACAGAAACAAACCAATAGCCGAATTCAGGTTAATACAGCTTACACTGGCTTTCTGATCAGAAGAGTAATACCCGGTTATAACGCTGTTACGCTAAACACATATAGGACGCAGCGTCCGAAACAACAAGAGTTTTAAACAGTTAAAACTCAGGACGCAGGTCCAACAAAGATAAAAATTACAGTTTCTGCTTTGATCAACAATTGTTAAAAACACTCTCTAAAGCTAATTCTGCCCAGACTAATTAAGCCTCACTTGTGAATCGCTTTGTCCGCAATTGGTGAAAGGAAAAGAGTCCGGCGATGGAACAGATCTTCTGTCCGTCCTGGTGCAGAGGCGTCTGATGGCGGCGAGGGTCCCTTACGGCGAGAGCGGCTTCGTTGGTTCTCCGTCGAGTGGAAAGATGTCCTTTGATGTCCTTTCGTTGCAGGACGGAATAAGACCGTTATCTTTCTGATAATCTGTTATAGTCTGACGCTCTCCGAGAAACTGAGATGCGTTCACTGGACAATCCGAGCTCGGAATTTAGAACACTGCCGGCCGCGGATTACCTGCGCGCCAAAACTTAAAACAAAGGAAGATTGTTGCAGGAAACAGGAGATCTTCTTGGGTCTCCGAGCACCGAAGGTCAGCGCGTGAAAGAGGGGGAGCAATGGAAGTCTTGGAGTTTTGTAGCCTGGCCTGCTCCATGGGGGTCTACCTCAGGTCCCCTCCAATGAGGAGAGAGAGGTTCCGGTCCC